ATTATGAATATTCATCAGTTCTGTAAGTTTCAAGTCAAAAGGTAAAATGGTTTTCCACTTATCGTGTTATCGATGCTGCATATATGCTGAAAAAAGTGAAAAAAACAGCATAAATTCCCTAAAAGTGACCCGATCATGCTGATTTTCGAACTTGACCTGCGTATTATGAATATTCATCAGTTCTGTAAGTTTCAAGTCAAAAGGTAAAATAGTTTTCCACTTATCGTGTTATCGGTGCTGCATATATGCTGAAAAAAGTGAAAAAACTGCATAAATTCCCTAAAAGTGACCCGATCATGCTGATTTTCGAACTTGACCTGCGTATTATGAATATTCATCAGTTCTGCAAGTTTCAAGTCAAAAGGTAAAATGGTTTTCCACTTATCGTGTTATCGGTAGAAGTGCACGGCGACGGCGACGACGGCGACAGCGACGACGGCGACGACAGACGCAGATGATGGCTATATGTACAGACACATCTGTGTCTGTACATAAAAAAATTGGAGATGGAGTACAGATGCTACTACAACTCTACCTTCCTCAGATTTCAACATATAACAAAAACATTTTACTGTGTGGAAAAGAAGTAACGTACCAGTAGTTTACTATTGTTGAATGGTTCATGACCTACTTTTAAGTTGTGACAGATTAGTTCAGTGACACTTCCGTTTCCATAAAAAGGAAGGTATACAGTCATTTCACATTAAGTCCTCATCAGTACCTATTTGCAGTATGCATGGCAGTGAGTCAGTTCTCACCTGTATAATTTTACCTTTACACATCACTCTGAAAATAAGAATTCAAATATATGACAAGTAGTTTGAGTCAGCAGAATTTACATAAAACTTTGAAGTTTTATTTTCACTCTAGACCCATTTGTCCATTTTGCCTTCAAATCACTTCATTATCAAATATCTATCATTCAAACATTAGTCAGCTGAGTCAGCAATATGATGGATTACTGTAAAAATTATCATTCAAATTTTATTCCACTTGAGTCAGCATATGTGGAGTGGATTTCTTTCATTCCTCTGTACTCATGACATGACCACAGAGATATAGTGTATATTGCATACTATAAAGATACAGTCTCGCATTGTGCTTACTATCAGATATTGAGTACACTGTAATCTACTAATGCTAGTTACAGCATGTCAAATCAAATCCAGCATATTTTCCAATTAACTCAATCAGGTAAGTTTTAGTTTCAAACTTACTGAAAAGCTTTAAGGAGTTCTAACAAACACATCCAGTAATTTTGTTCAGCCAAATTATTAAAATGTGTAAAGTAGAAATAGTGCCCTAAACATTCAAGACATAACAAAAATTATCCACTTAAAGGATAAATATAGTGTTTTAAGAAGAGTCACTTCTTCTAAAGCAAACGCGTGGTTCCAATGGATGCACACACATTAGTTTACAATTAAAATTTCATTTTTTATTTATCGTGACAGACATGATGCAAATGCTTCATCAGTCCAAGTACTTTGGTTGTGAGATAACGGATGAGTTAATGGTTTTGGCTTCTGGTCGGCACTACACTAATCAATACTTGAATCTAACAGTTATGCATTAAAAGCATGTTATCTTTCAGCTACAAAAAGCTGACTCTCCATAAAATGCTCTTCAATGAAGGAAGTCAAACTACTTTTATTGGCTTAATCTGTAGTTTAGGCTTGATGAAAATGTCAAACTCCAGTCCAAGAATCAGAAGCATCAAAACTTATATAAAAGATATCAGGAAAAAAATAAAGAACATATGTTTCAATTTCACGTTAAAGAATACCAATTAAAGCATTTTGCAAAATCCCTGCCTTTTGTCATATTCATATGCTCATCTTGACAACCTCATCTGGGCACAGGAACACAATAATGGAAACTGTCCAAGACATTCTCAACAAACATGCACTGTGGAGCTGAGTAGCAAGATCTGACCTTATAAACTGGTCTTCTGCTATAAGGCAACCAATGTCACCAAGGTAACTTGGGCTAAGTACAGAAAATCAACATTTGCATCTTGTTTACATCAATGCTGTAGGAAAAAAAGTCATATTAATCTTGAAGTAGTTTTTGTGAAATAGCAGTCATAATCTTATGTGAATGTCTTTATGATAATAGTCAGGGGTCAAGATGAGCATATGAATATGACTATTATCATAAAGACATTCACATAATATTATGACTGCTATTTCACAAAAACTACTTTCCTGAAATGTTGACAGACTTTTTCATCTAAATTCCACACTTAATTTTGCTCACTGCATAATGTGCCACTGATGTGCATAATATTAAGAATGTGGTAATACATTCTTGATAGTATCAAATGTGACATGAGGTAAGACACTGGCATCTAGGGTACACAAAACAAAGGGGCATGTCATACACAGCATAGCTACATATCAGTTGTGAACACCAAACTAGAGTAAAACGAGCCCAGGTGTCAGGAAATAAGATGATGAGCAAGTTGGAATTCCAACAATAGTTTAATGCACAGCCAACAACAACTTCTTCAATACCACAGACAGATTATTTAATGCATATGTACCCTGATCCTCAAATAAAAAGTTGAAGACATATAAAAGGGTGAATAACCAGTTGAAAACACTGTTTTACTACAGAACATGGACTGTGCACTTCGAGTATGGCCAATTTAAGCTGCATGTGATACAAGCCCAACCCCCTCACTGCTAAAAGAATGCACCATTACTACATTAGGCACACCACAAGCAAAATGCCTGTTGTTTTGATTTCACATATTTCATATGGTAAAACACTTGATGTATATATCGTAGTATTACACTGGAAATCCTCAACAAATTCTCAACAACTGCATGTAGAGAGAGAGCCTCGCTATCTCAACTGACCATCTGGTCACGGCATCATTAATATCCTCACAGGGAGAGCTGTGGTCGACAGTGGGTCGCCACCTCAACAAGTGGCACTTTTTTGCCTCCCTTGCGCTCGGTTCTCTGCGGGGAGAAGTTGCCTATACTTCATACGCAACACTTTTAATGCAGTTAAATGCAATAACACAAAGGACTGCCACTAGATAATCACCTTGTAGTGTGAAATATGTGATATTAAAACAGGACCATTTTAACCCTGGCACTAATTCAAAAATTTATCATGACAAAAACAAGCGTAAACAAATAAATGAATGATCTCGAATTTAAGGCACTTACCGCCTTCAGAAACTTTATGGGTCCGTTTAACTTCTTTTCTGGGGGGGATTTAGTTAACCAGCCAGAATAAATGATATCCATACTAGCTGCGGCCTTCACTGCTGCATCGATGACTTCGTCCCTTCTTCTGATTTGTCATTCTTTGAGAAATGAACAGGAAACTAACTTCGGGACTAAACAGGAAGTTTAATGGCGGCGAGTCGATTAAGTATCCCTGACGTCACCAGAATTTCGTAACGCGCCTGCTGGTTGGTCAATATGGGCAAGTTACATGGTAACTACCAATGAAAAAAGTTTTTTAATCTAAGGAAGGGGATTTTTTGATATCGGGAAAGGCTATGTTTACAATCGGTGGAGTGAATAGCAGTGGCCACGATTTTACAAATTTTAACCATATTTATGGGTTCAACTGCCTCTGTACTTCAGTGGAGGTGCAATGACTGTAATTACCTCAATAGTAAGGACGCTGATGTCTGCTACCGCTGCCTCAAGGTTCGATCAGCAGAGCACTGTACGGACTGTAACTCTCACCTTGTCGACAATGGGTTGAAAGAGAAAGCAGTTGGGAATTACCAGGGCCAGGAAAGCGTTACTGATGGGTAAATTTGGTTTGATGCCTGTATGAAAACTGGTGGGCGAATACTGTACTACATGATAATCTTATTAAATCGAGTGCTTTCTTTTAGGTCCGTGGGCAGGAGTGTTGGGGTGTGAAAAGGACCGCCCTCTCATGCCCAGGATGCCCGCTCTGAATCGAAATTTGATGTAGATTCTACCCCTTTCTTACGTTTTGTCAACTAATGATGTTTAAAGAGCATACATTTTCAGAAAGAGAACCCTCGTTGAAACTGCTACCAAAATATAGATCTATCTTTATACTGGTAATGTTGTTATCATGTGACAATGACTCATGTAGAAGGCCACATTGAACTACTGTCAGATTTTTTTCTATATCTTTTATGCTGACACTGAACTACAGGCTTATACATATTTACTACTGTTTACTTCTTCTTTTCACTGTCTTCAGACAAAAGATGGAGAGAGCTGCAGAAGGACACCTGATTGTCAGAAACAGTCAAATAATCACCAAGGAATGGTGCTGCAAATACTGTCGCTTCATCAATACACTTACAGTACAAGTATGCCAGAAGTGTAGCTACCAGAGAGACTTGATTGTCCCTCAGAGTGTTTCCTCAAATAATCCTGATGGTTCATTAAAGGAAAATAAGAAGGATGAAAAGGTGGCAACAGCTTCTTCAGATAAACCTTTGCCAGGTACAACTGAGGAAAAAATTCAGGATAAAGAAAACACTCTAAAATCTGCTTCAGTTACCAGTAGCAAAGAATATGAAAGAAGTGACGAAAACAGCTCCACTTTACCTGATTATACAACTCAAAAGATACATTATGCTCCTTGCAAATTGGAAGAAAATGATGTTGAAATGGACTGTGCACTCAACCCTGTAATTATACAGGTACATGACAAAGAGGACCTACAGGGAAGGAATGGAGCTCAAAAAATATCTCCAACATTTGTAAATAGTACAAACATACAGAGTGATACCACTTGTACTTCCATTGGCTCAATCTTATATCCCCCTAGCACAAACTATAAGCCTCCAGTTCCTAATACTGCGAGACCTGTGACCACTAATGACAATATTGTCCCAATGCAAAATTCTGAAGGCGGCTTTGCTTTTGCAACTTGGAAGTGTAAGAAATGTACATTAGATAATCCAGTGACTGTAAAGCAGTGTACTGCATGTGACTCCCGTAGAACATCAAGTACCCCAGTGACCTTTCCTTCCAGCTCAGCATTGGCAGTTCAGAACAAGCACCGCCATCTGGAAAAAAGTAGTTCTGACTCTGCTGTACCCCAAACTTTATGTAGTCTTCCTAAGCAGATACCAAAGTCTAAAGAAAAAAACACATCACAAGAGTCCCTTCGTGTCGGAGAAGAGAAAGAGTGGACTTGTAAGCACTGCTCATATTCATGCAATCCCCCGTGGCAGAAACAATGTGATATTTGTAATGATCCTACAACTACCAAGACCAGTGCTTTAGGTAGTTCCAGACAGAACCCCATTGATCTAACCAGGGGCTCTTATCACTTGTTTTCTCATGAAAAATACCAAGAGCCTGTTGTTGATCTCACATCGGAAGATGTTGAGATGGAGGAGGATTTTCAACGAGATCCCTCACAGCCTGATCCAGGAACTGATTCTGAGAAGGCTTCTACATGGACATGCACAATGTGCACTTTTAATAACACAGCATTTAATACCAAGTGTGAAATGTGTGACTTCCCGAGACCCCAAGATGTGAAAGAAGACAAATTATCACATGGGGAAATGTGGGAGTGCCGTAGATGTACACTACAGAACCCAGTGACTGCACCAGTGTGTGGTGCCTGTCAATCCAAGAAGGAAGTCTTGTTACCTAATGCAGATGATATACCTTTAGATTACGATGTATCTCCTCTGAACAGTTCACCAGTGCCAATCACATCCCCTGCATCAACATCAGTGGCAAGATACAAAACAGCAGCATTAGTGACAACACCACAGAATAAGGCGATTGCAGCTTTGCCTGCAACAGCAGCAAATGCTAAAACATCAGCAACGAACACATATTTACAATCAAGTACAACCAAAATGACTGACAGTGAGCAGTCAGTGTCAAAGCACAAAGAACCTGTGGAGTCTGAGTTGCCTCCTCTACCTCTGTCACCATTGTCAAGTTCAAACCACTTCTCACGACCACAATGGACATGTACTGTCTGTACCTATGTCAATGACCTCAGTGCAAAGACGTGCCATGTTTGTGGGATTTCAGTACATACAGCTGCTAAAGTAAGTGGTGTCTCTCAGTCCCAGACAAATCATGTGGTAATTTTCAATTAAATATTTTAACCAGTCTCATCACACTCTGAAATAAAAATGAATTTAAATATATTGCTAAATTAACACACGATGTGACCCAATTTTTACTTCAATAGCTTTTGTGTGATTTGAATTTTGTTGTTGTATTAAGCATTTGCATTTTATAATGAAAAATTCAGTGAATATTACAGTATTCGATGATTATTTTAAATTTTATATGTAAAGTCTGATTAAGATATGAAAATGTGATAATTTTATTGTATGGTATATTGTTGTTTTGCCAGTCTCCTGGACCAGCCCCTACCTCTCCTCCACCATCAGTACCACTCTCTTCCTTGCTGAGACAGGAGAGTAAACTGATGGAAACTGTGAGGCATAAGGAAGAAGAGAAAGCTAAGGAAATTTGGGAAGGAATCATTGCATATTGTAAACAGGTACTTAATACTATTGCATGTCTGTAAAACATGAAAATCATCACCATTTTTAGATGGAGCTAATGAGTTTAGAGTCCTTATAATTGTAGATGTCAGTTGCAGCCTTTCTAGCTTTGTGCTGAATACATATATTTTTCCTTAACTCTCATTTATGTAAATTATCCATCTTTCCACCCATCAAACTACCCAGTTTAGTGGTCCATATGACATTGTCTACACTTCACTTTACTGATTTAGATAAGCAAATTTTAATTCAGTAGCTTTTGGTCTTTTCCTGTCTTATCAAATTAGAATGACATTGGCTTTCACTGCCTGGCATTGATCATGTTGATATCAGTTATCAGGAAATTGTTCTGCTTCTTATCACAGGAAGTATGATTAAAACTGGAACTGGGTTTGTGAAATATTTCATTAATTGAACTGAACATTTCAGAGTAGAGATAAGCCTGTAGATGATAAATACTTTTCTTAATTGCAAGTTTACAGATTTGTGTGTGAAATATTTGATAATATTGAACATCTCAAAGGAGAGCTAAAGAAATGTGCATGTGGTATTAGTAATCTTTTGGTTTAGAGTCTTTAAAATGAAAACAATAGAAGTGAGGAATGCATAATTTGTTACCAATAAGATCACAAAAAAGTTAATGAAATAGATTATCATTTTTACCAAATTGTATGATATTTCAGAATAAAGATAGGTTTGTTGATGATCAGTTTCGACCGGGTCCACAGTCTCTCAACTACAAGCCCCAAGATCACCCTGATTCCCCAGTGATGCAGTGGTTAAGACCACAGGAAGTGGCCTGCAATAGTATGCAGGAGAGAATGACCAACTGGACTGTATTCAGGAGAAGTCCTATGCCATCAGATATATCACAGGGTGTCCTAGGGAATTGCTGGTATTCCTTTTTGAATTCGCTTTTATTTGCAGTATCTTCTAGTATAAATCTGTATATTCTAATAATATATGTGTCCTTGTGTATTCATATGTAGGTTCATATGTATGTGTTTGTATACAATCTTTCTTTTTCATGAACCTAACAGAGACACTTAAACAGAGCCATGTTTATGTGGTTACAGATAGTGCAAAAAGAACCTAAATCTCCTACTTTTGCATATGCCATAATTTTCAAACCCATTTTAAGGATGTCACTCCACATTCAACTACATGTATATACAAGTGCAAACTACCCATGCAGGTATGTCCATGGGGATATTTAAATAGAAGCAGATGGTGTGTCTATGTGCCCCTCCTGACATTTCAGGTTTCTCAGTGCCTTGGCAGTGCTAGCAGAGAGGCCAGACCTGGTGGAGAAAGTGGTCATTACGCGTGAGGTGTGTCCAGAGGGAGCATACCAGATAAGGCTGTGTAAAGATGGCCTGTGGACCACTGTCCTGGTGGATGACCTCTTCCCGTGTGATGCCTCTGGAAGGCTAGTCTACTCTCAGGTGGGGAAAAGTCTGGGTACTTGATCTATTCTGTTTTTGTTATTGTTAGGATATAGATTGTTGAATATACATTTTTTTTACACAGTGGTATGGTAATTTTTTCCTCGACACTGCAATATATTTTTCTTTTCTTTCATATGACAGTGTAACTAATATAGATGTTTCTGCTTTGAAAGAACAATTTTGAATGCCTAAGTTTTTGTTACTGCTGGGTGTGCAATAGCACAAGTAGACAAATAAGTAGTCAAAATGGCCAAGGGTTATATATAGCACAGAAAAAAGCAGAAATGTCTGTTTAAATATCAGTTTTTGAAAAATATAAAACAATGCCCTTGGGCATTTCTTTTAGTTATGCTATTTGATACTATATGGTGGCATTTGGCCAGGTTTTGTGGCAAAATATGACTTTAATGTATTTGTGTATTCCACTTATATAAAAATTCTAATTGTAGGCTAAGAGGCGCCAGCTGTGGGTTCCTTTAATAGAGAAAGCCCTAGCCAAGGTACATGGCTGTTATGAAGCCCTCATAGCAGGAAGATGTATAGAGGGCTTGTCCACACTGACTGGGGCGCCTTGTGAGAGTATAGCACTGCATAGTAAGTATGGGATTATAGGGAACCCCCCCCCAGGAAAAAACCCTACCACAAATTTAAGATTTGCATGCATTTTATGAATATGTTTTGTGTTTCCTTATGCAATTCCAACATTAATAGTTATTTTGAAGAATCCAAAAGCTCAGATTACAGTCTTTTGCTGGCCCTAAAATGGATGATGAAAGGAAGGAATTATCTGATCTTAATCTTGTGCATTTTCACTGTTATCCCAATTACATTGTATTGATAGCAAGCTCTGAATAAATGGAGAAGAGTCAACATCTGTCTGGGTCAGTTATTGTCATTTTAATACTAGAATCAGACATAGAGCTGTGAAACATTGTATGGATCTTCAAGTCATTGGAGTTCTTATCACTGAAAATACCCCTTTACAGTGCAGTACAGTTATTCGAATATTCTAGTTATATATGGCAGTCCATAAAAATTCCTGGGTGAACAACCTTTATATCATAGTTATTGTCAAAGGGCAATATTTCTGATATTTGTGAAAACTGCATAATAGTTGTATCTCCAGGGAGTGAAATTTCATATCTCAGTTTTTCTTGTCAGGATACTGATATTCTGATTTAGTTTTTCCATCAACTAGAAAAATTATAACTGATGGATACCAATTGAAATAGCCTTATGAAGTCCGTAATAATCAATAATTGTAATGCAAAATATAGCATATTCATACTGTACTTTGTGATAAAGATTCTGTTATTGTTGTTATTTTCTCCAGACAGTGGAAGTCCCCATGAAGATCCAGTGGATGCTGACTTCATATGGGCACAACTACTCAGCTCCAGAGAATCAGGGTAAAATCAATCAATATCATTATCATATTCCTTTCCATGTATACTTTGCATTTTATTTTAAAAGAATTTGTGACTTAGTCTTTTGTACTGAATTGGATGTTGTTATCTTATTAGAATAAGCATATGGTATCTCATTTGAGAAGTTCTGTGAACTGAAATGACTTGACATTCTTTATAAATTTGGCCTGGATATCCTGTTGGAATAAAGCCATCAAAGTACATGTTTCACCCCTACAGAACTTCCTGGTCTATACATAATAAGTGTGTGAGGCTGCTGTGTTTGTTATCAGTGCTTGTTAACATTCCCTGTTATTTACTTCCCTGTCTCTTAATCCAGATGTTATCAACAATATAAGGAAATTGGACTTTAAAATGTTACAGTAATAAAATATTCACATTTAGGTCATTACTTTAGATGTAAAAATAAAGTAGAAATACACACATTTTGGCCCGAGATATAAATTGAGCCGAGTCAGGGGCTAATATTACCATAACAACCACAAACTTAACTCACCATGGGGCAATATTGAGTCTTTCAACACAGGCATGATTACATGATTTCATATTTACTGAAGATGCATTTTCATCTTGTTTTATTTCCAGCTTTCTCATGGGTGCATCTTGTGGTGGAGGCAACATGAATGCCAATGAGGAACTTTACCAAGACTTAGGTCTTCGTGCTAGACATGCATATTCCATCCTTGATGTGCAGAATGTTATTGGGAACAGGTAAGAAACCAAAAGATGATAATTGGTTAGACAGATAAAAAGATCCATTTTATCATCAAATGCTACGATATTCAATTGTGTCAACAAAATGTTCCATATCTATACATATGTATAATTTACTGGTATAATATCATAAAATAATTGACTTTGGATGAGGTCTTCAAAACAACATTAATATTGACCAGAAGGGAATGTCAGTAATTATTTTATTATATAATATAATACCTAAATGTCAACCTGAAAGTTGCATCATGTCTGTCATCAGACATAATTATATCTGATTGATGATATATTACCTTTAACCTTATTGGTATAAAAGTCAGTTATGTCAGTGGTAAATAATATATTTTATCAGACCTTTAATTTCCTGATATAAGATGGGATAAGATCTGTATTTATTGTGTAAAAATCTTTTAAAGACTTTGTTGAATGTTACTTTAAATGAATCCTGATACACAGAGTTTGAAAATTATTTTTTTTTATTTTGTATAAAAGAATACATATGAATATCAAAATCTTTTTCAGACTTCTGAAAATTCGTAACCCATGGGGGAGATTTTCTTGGAAGGGCGACTGGTCAGACAGATCCCCCAGGTGGCAAGAAATTGAAAAAACACGAAAAAACCAACTACTGGTTCATGGAGGACAGGAAGGAATATTCTGGATGTCACTGGAAGATTTTCTCAGGTATAGGTTTTCCTTTAGTTTTAGATTGTAAGGAGACTATGTTACTGCAAAAGCACAGGAATGAAATCAAATCCCTTCATTCAATACATAGTGGTTTGACTCGCTAGGTTTTTCTTTTTGGGAGTTATTGATATGGAAATAATTCAAACACTATTTATTTATTTGTTACATTTAAAAATACAAAGATTTGCTATGTCTGTGTAAATATTCTGTGCCTGTCCATGTCACCATCATTGTTATCATGGCTGTCACAGTCCTACATACCTGTTCAGTGTTCATTGGGGTGTTTTTCATATTTGTTTTAAATATTTCAGCTATTTTGACAGCGTTGATATATGCAAAGTCAAGAGAGACTGGAGAGAGATGAGACTACAGGGAAGTTTCCCACCAAATGCTAAAGGACCAATGCAGGTTGCTATGGTTACAGTGTACCAACCAACTGAAATAGAATTTGGTCTTTTTCAAGAAGGTTCAAGGTATGTGCCATTGTTACAGTACAAGTTCTGCCAATTTTGTCCTCATTTTATACTGTCTTACTTGTACAACCAAATTGCTTGTGTATCAAACAGTACAAGCACAGTGAAACTGTATGTAATTTTCATAGTTTCACAGCTAATGCAATGGTGAGAGGCAACTTACTGTATTGGCTCTCAAGAAACAGTGCTACAATTTACAAAGGAATCTTGGATTGCGCTTATTTATTATAACATAAACTCTGTAAAATATGTTGGTCACAAACTTTGTTGGTTGTAAGTTTATGTTATTCAGCAAATAATAACATGGACTTCTTTTGGAAAGTTAACTATCACATAGACAGGCAGGGAGATAAATAGCAGGGCCGTAGCCTCGGGGGGGGGGGGGGGGGGGGGCTGCTGCCCCCCTCTGGGATTTGAGGTGCAAAAAAAATAATCGCAAAGGTAAAAAAAAAAATTGCAAAGTTGGTATCATTTTCTGTGAAAATGCACCAGAATGCAGTATTATACATACAGTTTTTTTTAATTTTCCACACCGTGGGAGGGGGTGTCCCCCCTCGGAGGCTTCGCCCACAATTTCTCACTTCTGATTGACGAATAAATAACAGTTAAAATGCACCATATTGCAGTATTATACATACAGTTTTTAAAAATGGACACCCCCTCCCACCTGGGGGGCTTCGCCCCCTCGTGTCCGCTTACTGCCCCCCCTGGCATTTTGCTCAGGCTACGGCCATGTATAGATTACTTTATCTACTAAATACTACATTCCAGAGGCTCAGAGCGTTCATCCAGGAGTCCTGTAGACCTGTGTCTGGCAGTACTTAGAGCTTCCAGTAATATTCACCATCCTGTGGGGGTCCTCAAGTCCCACAGCAGGCGGCAAGTCCGTAGTTTTACTGGCTGTCATGCCATGCTGGAGGAAGGGCAGTATGTAGTGGTGGGAATGGCCTTCAACCACTGGGGACCAGGTAGGCATGCTCTGCAGAATGAGACTGTCCTCATGGAGGCTTTTGTGATAAAATATTTACCTGATTATAATGGGATGTTTGTTATTAATCAAACTGATTTTATCTAGTGGAATTTTTAGCTTTTTTTTTTGGAAACACTCACATATTTTCGATTACAGGATTTTGTGTATTTATTTTCTAAACAGTCTGTACACAGTTGAGGAGCTATTTAACAGTTGAGAGAACACAAAGAACAGATCATGCTTAGATCACAATCATGTGGGCATGTGTGTGCAAGCACAAACACACACATGCACACACTTATCCAAAGATGAGATTTTTCCAACTGTCAGTGGATTTCTGACTTTTTGGATGGTGTTGGTGCTTACAACAGTAATGAAAGTTTTTCAACCTTTTGTGGATTTTACACTTTTTGTTACCCCACTTGAACTTCCCACTTGTACTTCAACTGATTCAAAATATGGAAGATTCCATGTGACAAAGTAGTATGTTTTATCTCCAGGTGCTAGCCTCCATACTAACTATGTGATGACAGTCCACCATAGCAGCACACGTTCAGTGTTGGTAGAACAAGTTGAAGCCCCTAAGACCGTCATTGCAGACACACTGATACAGATGACACTGGCCAAGGGGTCCAGACATGAGGTAGGTACATTTCTGATGTTATTTATGTCACAATTCTTGTTTCCTTGCAACACATGAACATAAACAAACCATTTCTTAAAGCCTGAGAAATAATTGATAGTGGTACAACCGAAGCTCATAATTTACCTTGTCAATGAGATGATTGCAAGTTGTAGAAAAAAGTATGATGCTGACCTCTGGCTCTCAGACCGTAGGAGACAAAATCCACGCCAAGGTTGGGCTGTTGTTATGCATCTGTGACATTTTGATAAAGTTGCAGATTACTTATAATGGGTCTAAATTTCATCAAGCAAGAGAAGCTTGAAGTCCCACTATTCAACCCACAGTTGGACTTGTGTTATGGTGATGAACTTATTTGTTTTGTCTGTATTGTTCCAGGGTCGAGAGGGCATGACAGCGTACTATTTAACCCATGGTTGGGCTGGCATTGTAGTAGTGATAGAGAACAGGTTTCCAGACAGGTGTTTACAAGTACAATGTGACTGTACAGAGAGTTATAATGTGGTCTCCACCAGGGGCTCTCTCATTACACAGGACAGTGTCCCTCCACTACACAGGTAAGGAGCATGGTGAAGCAGTATCAAAGGATGGGCAAGGGATACATTTTACATTTGTTAATTTTTTGGACAAAAGTTACGTCACCAATTTTAAATTGCTATTCACTTTTTTGGTGAATATTATTACAATCTTTCTTCACTGACAAGTTATTGTCGTCTCTTGTCTAACTTAAAGATAAGATAAGTGTGTAAAATGTTTGTATATGTTAAAATTTATTATAGGTAAATGTGGTATATACCTGTCTTGAATAAATGTTTTCAAGTATGTCACAAACTTAGCAATAGATAAAATTTTAATTTGGTAATTATTATTTGTCCCAGTTCAGAAATTCAGGAACCAGCTTCAGGAGCTAATGATGATCATCACAATATTTCTCTTTATTCTCCAGTGCTTGATATTAGAAATCAATCAGATAAAATCCATAATGGGAAGTTATTTGCTAGTGAGGGCTGCTTAAAACTGTTGATAAATTGCTAGAAACCATTATGCCTTCATACACTAGTGTTAATTTTACAGTACATTTAAAAAAAAAAAAAATATATATATATATATATATATAATTATATTCTTTTCTACAGGCAAGTTGTTATTGTATTGTCTCAACTGGAAGGAAGTGGAGGTTATTCCATAGCACACAGACTTGTCCATAGAGTATCCAGTCACCCAGGACTCGGGGACTGGGCAGAACCTAATGTCAGCCATGTCCCTACTTTAACACAAGAAGTGTATGGACTACACATACCAAGACCAATATAATACGTGATCTGGACTGGTCATCAAATTGAGCGAAAGAAAAGAAAATTAGTTGTTAATTACATTCCTATTACTACTGAGGGCTTATTTATTAATAAGTAATATTATGAATATTTATTTGTATTGTATCTCTTACAGTGTCTAAAACAAAGTTAACTGTAGATTATTAATGAAAGATCTTGCAGTTCATGATAAGGCTGAACACAAGGTTTATGTTTGCAAGAAAGTAATTATATCAAGAGCCATGTGTATTTGCACAAAAGATAGCAAATATAGTAGGATTTGACTGGTTAAAGCCATATTTTGGATATATTTTAACTAACTTCAGCAGTCAGATAACAGATGCTCCAGTTTAAAGATGGCTAACTTCATTTTATCATTATCCTACATCTACTTAAGAAGTTCATGCATAATGCATTCTGATATTGGCAAGAGGTTGCAGTATTGTACATGTTAATAGATCCATTATCATCTATTAAATGTGTCTGCTTCTGGAAAATTAGCTGTTTCTTTGTGTACATCATATGTCTCTCAAACAATTATAAATACCATTTTAACACCAGGGTGATTTGAGCAGACGTCATCAGTACGGATTTCATGGAAAATTTGGTACACAAAATACATGACAAAAATGAGTCACTGAACTTGAAAAGAGGTGCCTGCCCAAAAGTGGCATGATCACTCCCACGTTTGTGTCCGTGGTTTGATTCATAGTATTCCGATAAATCAATTTAATTCATCTTTGAAGAAAAATTAAAATTTATTACATTTTTTGTAATATGCCTAATGGAATAGAAATCACACCAGTTTGAAAGGGGAGCCTTCAGAAGTAGATAATGGGAGATATTGACAGTTACTGAGTGAACTGTACATTTTCAGCTTTACATAGTTCCTTGCATTAAGGGTTTGAAGAATCCTGGTTTCATGTATATGCATCTTTCATAGTTTTACTTTTATCGTTTATCATCACTATGTTTAAGTGAACTATTTTTTGTACGTATTCAGAAATGTTTCAATAAACGTAAGAAATAATTGTTCAATTTCCTGTCACTACATGCTGTCGACTGTTTCTATATCATCCTGACACAAATCATTGAATAAAATAATTTTAATTTGAAATTGTGCATTACAAATCATTGAACAATATTAACAGGGCCATGATTCTGCACCATAGTGCAGTGTAGTTTCAAAATAAAATTGGTTTTTAATTTCTGTTGTTTGGTGTAAGAAATTATTAAATATAGGTAAATATTTTTCATGCATACCTATAGTGTCATCCATTGCAAAAGATAAAAACTGGTTTACTGGCCTGTAGCCAGGGGGGGGGGGGGTTTGAAAGAACCGCCCCTTTTGCTGGGAAAAGGTGCACTGTGGGTAAAATTTGATCTAGGTACATGAAGTTTTAATGGGGAAAGGTTCACTTTTTCAGAAAAAGAACCCCCTTTTGAAATTGCTGGCTACGGGCCTGGGTTTAGCTATGCATGATGAAAGTAGCAACGGTACTACTGTTAGTCATGCTTATCATGTATAGGTTAAAAAAAAACGTGCTTCAGGGGCGTAATAAGTTTTCTAAATATGTTATAAGCAGGTTTTCAGCGATAACCATTCATACCACCTTTCTCTATTCACGCTGAGACGTGAATCGCAGTTTTAGTTTTTTTCCACAGAATTACTCAATCACATTGGCATTTGATAAGCATCCAGATAAATGTGTTTGCTCGTTGTTTCTGTCAGGGTAAAGAGCCATAGAATACAGTCTGACCCACATCTGACACCTAATTAAAATGGAGATATTTGCACTTTTTCCAGTCAACTAGGTTGGTAGTTGAACATGACAATTAACCTTTACATTGTATTATAACGACATTGTTTGTGCGCAGAATGAAAATCAAATCAACCTCGCGTTCACCTGTTTGATACGCGTTAACACTACACAAGTCAGCAATACGGGCTGGATTTCTTTTCAGTGTTGGGGGACCTTTCAAAAAGTTACATCTACATGAATTCTTTTTTATGTTAATGTTAGTGGCGTTGCAGGAGGCACTGGCCAGATAATGTCACAATATAAATGTCACCGGCTGTGAAGGATATATTCAGAGTCTATTTGGGCTTTTATAGTTATTACACATTAATTAGGTTTCCTTTTGTTAATTTTGCTTTACAAATGAGGAAATAAAAAAGCTGGACGTAATAAAAACAAAGCGAGTGAAATGATTGTGATATTTTATCCTAGTTCGAAATTTTAGTGGTGCAGGTCTTTCTCATGGAAATACATTTGATGTGTCTACGGTTACATCACAAGCCCAAATTATTGCAAATTTACCATAATCAATACATATAGCAATAGGAAATGCATGATGAAGTGTCATATTGTTGAAAATTAATCTCAACAATAAAAATACCGCCCAGTTTGCCTCGTGCGAGTTACCCAATTTGATAGAATGATGTATTACTTAACATATTTTGATAACACCCCCGTGGGTTTTTATCGCTGGTCACAATCTTTGGCTGTCAGCCACTTCGTGTTGGTTTGAGTTCATTGTCTACCCATCTACGGGTCTGAGATTTCTTACACGAACGAATGGTAAACCATAACAATATCCATGTTTTGTGGGTTTTGTGGGGTCTAACAATTGCTACAGTTACTTTTATGTTTTCCCTTATACAACTAAATTTACTTAGTGAACGCATTTCAGGTTCAGACAATAGAACGGTACCCAATGCAGTTGATCTACTCTGAAATCAGATATTTCTCGATCACTGATTTTCAATTGAATCTGGATCTTTAAACGCGCTCTCGCCTTTCGCTACAAGGGAAATGGCGGGGCTGGAGTAGGGTCCTGGGTAGTTTCGGAGTCGCTGTGAGGTAGGTTTTTGCATGTTTTAAGCCTCATTTTTCTTTCGACTTCCAGATACGAATGTGTTTTAATTAAGTGTAATTCATTCGCCGTGATTGTCATGCTTTGGTGCTTCGCTGGTGCTCATTGCAATCCACCATTAACTATCCCTTCCTCTTGGTGAGGGAGATGGGGTGAAGCACTTATTTCAAAATGGACAAATTAACTGAATAGTCTCAATAAGATAAGTAAAGCTAATGTTCCGTTAAGACCGGGCTGCGACCCTTCCATGACCAATGCGATCACGAAATTTTAGCTACTGTCACAGTCTTGACCGTTCTCTGCTTTGGTTGCCTGTCCACGTCACCACCAAACCTCAAGCTCTCCGTAGTGCTTGCAAGTGAAATATTCCTCAATAGTAATGTGGCCCCACACTATTGGATGTGGATCGACATCGTAGTCTATTACAACCCCTAAAACATACAAGTAACATAAACTATATGAGACGTACCTTGTCATACCATGCTGATACCTCACAGGTCACGGTCCGCATGACTTTGTTTTGAACAGTTTCACCCACCAGTAAAACCCCAGGCTGCAGAGAGTGATACAAACCAAGAGAGACGGTCCGTGAATATATCAAAATCTCTTGCACTCTACCTTAGGCGATTCCCTGAGGTCGATGGCGGCAGGTCAACGCTACTTATTGCTTCACACATACGTTCTTTTCTAAACATGCAGGACTTGTTAATGGGCATCACTGTGGAATTTCGGTCAAAAATTGGCACAAACTTTAATGCTCAACATTTTGCCTTCTTCATGTCATTTATTTATTTATTTAATTATTTATTTATTTATTTACTTGCGCTATCCCTGATTTATCTTGGGTCAAAGTACTCAAATCTTTTTGTCTAAAAGTGTAGACCAATTTTCGGGCCAAAGTGAAACAATCCACCAGAAACAGCCTCCAGTAGACCTACCTCCCGGACGAAACATTTAGTAAAATATGAAACGGGTATTCTTCTTTTGGCGTGGCTAGCTGAAATCAAAACAATATTTGCAGACATGGATTATATTATACTTTCGCTTTTTAATCTGTACCGTGGAAAATGTGTACAAAAGTTTGGGTTTCACATAACAGTTTTACACGTGCACTATATTTTTAAAAAATTTAACAACGGAAAGAATTAAAAGAAAAGTCTGTGACAAATAGTGCATCTTCTCTCATCTCTTTCTATCGACATGTAGCTCATAATACATACATATAACGATACAACTGTTTTTTTTGTGCAAGGTAAAAGGGTGGATTTTCCAATCGTGTCGAAAGTCCAACATTGAGAATGACGCAAACGATGGCGCCCTCTATTGTCTTTTACATGGTTCACTGCGAACGGGTCAAACCCATTCTTTGAGAAACAAGGAGCCGTGAAGAAGGTCAATAAAGGTCATCTGCGTGTACAACCACTTAATAGCAAAGGGGATTATTTTATCAAAATTTTATATATTTGTCATTACACCCGGACCTTACTGCAGTTTATTCCTAACCAAAAATTGTGGCAACTTACGTTGTAAAAGTGAAAAAGCATGGGAAACTGCAATCACAGAAAATCTAGATTTCGGAACCTGAATAAAATTATTGAAGTATTAATTTTGAACAAGTAGTCAGCTTTGAGTGCGCCTTTATCATATTCACGTGACGCGACAACAAGGGCACAATGTGATTTTATGAATACTGTACCCTAAGGATTTGGCGCAAGAGGGCTAATAGAGAATAAGTCATCTATGTCAACTATACGGGTCTTTTCAAATAACACATGTACACCGAATTAAAAACATCACCAATTTTATGTACCTGTATGCATGAGTCATTGCTCAAATAGGTTTATATGTAAATGGGAAAGCCAACGTGCGTCTTAAGATATTATTTGATTAATTCTTTTTTTTTTCTTAATGCACATTCTTTGAAACAACTGCCAAACACCTTGCAAGAACCACAAGTTAGGCACTAATATTTATGTGTAGACTAGGCCATGGTGAACCATTGAGAAAGCGCAGGGGAGTGGGAGTAATGAATCAGAGTAAGGATACGTATCATCATTGGCCTGAATACTCGTATTCACTGTGAAATATTTACTTTCTGACAAAGCTCCCCTGCCTAAAAGAGCATACATTGTTAACTTAATAGGATTACAAAGAAGGGTAAATATTTATGGCCCCCTGCACCATCTCGTGTCGCTAGTGTAACACTGCAGGTGTCTCAGGTGTTGAATATAGAAGAAACAAAAATAAAAACACCAGAAAGAAAAAATGATTAGCTCGCGCTATACAAACGCAAAGGAATGCAATATTAATACAGGATTTGTCGCGTCATTAAACCCACAAACTTTGCCAATAACATGCAAAGCTATGAAAGACTTGTAAACAGATATGCTTGAATATGATAATAAACTTGTACAATATTGATACTTTATGCTGCTGCTTCTTTTTAATTATGGACCTCTTAACTGGAGGGCCACATTTTGACCAAAACTAAGAGAAGGTGGATACATTGCAGTCGTATGGCTTGCTATAAAATTTTCTGTTTGAAATGGCAGATTTGGTACAGAAAGAAATGGAGATTGAGCACCATTCAAAATTCGTTTCTTAAAACATACGCAAGCACATTCACACACACACACACACACACCTTGATAAGTCTTACATTAACATAATTGGTGAAAAGAGGCCCTATTTAATTCATGGAATAACTTGGCAAAGAACTCATGTAGATGTATATATATTTTGCATTTTTTTCAGGGTGACGTACCTTGTAAAATATGGCGTCCCTCCTGTCGCGCAAACGGCCGGCCCGACCTAAGCAGTATGACGTTTTCCTCGTCGATAGGCCAGGTCATGGGCCGGAACCGGATGAACTCAAGCCAATTTTCACCATTGCCAGACGGGATTACCCGGACTGGAACCCCAACAACATTTCTACTCAGAGAGATTTGTATTTTTCGATTATGGGTGCGTAAAAACATTATTTTCCCTTTACATGTAAGTGAAAATAACTAAATTTGAGAGTGGTAACCAATGTAACAAACGAACTAAAATTCCAGGCAAGAGTGTTCAGTCTCTGTAGCCTACATGAGAAGTTAGCTAAATGTATGTGGCATGTGCATTGAACTTAGTTCTTGAATTTTCAGACAAAAACAGCAATATGACCACGAAAGAGAAAGAAGAGATTTGGAATCTGTCCAGTCCTGCCATTGAGATCGACAACGAAAAGATTTTCATAAAGCTCAAACGTCCATTAGCAGGATTTGCAGGTATAAAATCGTTTGATTTAAGATATTTTGATTAACACGAAAGTAACGCAGGCCTTTACATGCATAATAATATTATTTTTTTCTTATTAACGACATTTTCAAATTAAGAACCATTGCATACAATAACTAGCTTTCTACGACACGAAAAAGCTAGGTGTATCTATCTTCCCCATTAAAAGAAAAAAAATGTGAATTTTGTTTTTGGTTATATCATGTCTGCTGTGATCCAGTGCAGTCATTAACAAAGAGACGTACATTTCAGGGACCGTTGACGAAACATCATCCTCTACCGGTACTCCGGAAACCGGCAGCAGTGACCTCCCTCCGCCTGTTCAGTGCAGCAGTCCTCCCGGGGCTAACCAACAAGAAACAGAGCGCCTGAACAACCAATACATCCAGCTACAGGAAAGTTACTCAATGCTGGAGAGTAGGCACGATGCTTTGAAGAACCGACTTCGCCAGGTTGAAGATGAAAACGATCGCAATCTACAGCTGAAACTGCAGAAGGAGAGAGAAAATGCTGCCTTACAGCGCCAAATTGATGACATCCAGTCGCGTTTGATCTACGTTCAAAATGAATCCGATGCACACGCACGCATGCTCAGTGAGATTGAACAAGAGAAAGCTATTCTTGAAAGAAATATGGGAAAGCTGGAGCTGCAGTTGGCAAATACGAGAAAAGAGTTGGAGGAATTGCACAAATTGCTGCAGAAAAGGTTGGAAGATCAAAAGGACGAATTGGAGCACACCTTTCGAATGCAACAAATGAAACTGGAATCAGAACTTCGCCAAAGCGATGAGAAGATCAAAGATAAAGATGCTCTTTTAGAAGCTATGACGACTCGTATGTGCGAACAAGAAGAGGCGCTTTTGAAGGAAAAGGAATTACGAGCCACTGAAATTCACGATAAAGAGCTTTGCATCGCTGAGAAAGAGAACACAATTGCTCAGCAAAAATTTGCGATAGACACTCTACAGTCTGCCATGAAAAGCACCAACGCAAAAATTGAATTCAAAGGTTCGCAAATCCGTGAGCTCAAACTCATGCTTAACACAAAAGACGAAACTACGATGAAATTAAAGGAAGATTATAACACGGAACTGAAACACCAAGAAAAAGCGTTCACGGAATCTCTAAATAGAAAAGATCGTGAGAACAAGCAACTGGCGGAGGAAATGGCCAAAGTTAAAGGAGAAATGGCTTCACAGGCGGACAGACTTCAGAAGGAAATATTAGCAGAGAATGAATGCCACAAAGTTGTTGTTAAAGGTCTGCAGAACGAAAAATCCCGTTTAAACGACAAACTGAAGGAAGCCAGAGAAGACCTTCGTAAATTAGAAGAACATGTAAACGAGCTTGCAAGCAAGAACACGTGGTGGGAAAAGGCGTCACGCGCTCGATCCTCCATGACTGAAAGTGTAGAAACAATCACGCGATCAAACCGAGAGCTTACCAAACAACTAGACGAGCTAAAACAGGGTAATAAAGACAAAGATGATCACATTCAAAAATTGCAAGTAGAATGTATGGAACTTCACAAGACTTTGGAATCGCAAATGGAAGAATGCAAAGGACATACGGAAGAAATTGAAAGACTCACGACAGAGCTGCAAAAGAATACTGTGGGTGCCGCTTTACTAACAAATAAGAACTTCATTAAAACACGTCTTACCCAATCTCAGCCAAAATCTGGGAGCAGTGACAGAACCACAAGTAAACTTTCTCTTCCGCCAACGTCAGATTCAAGATCGGGATCAAGTAAAGGGACCATGAAAGGGGCCAGAGTTAAGGGTGTGAAGCTTCCAGCTAGTAAGAGAGAGTCTTAAGTTTGTTCTTTTTTGTTCCAGTATTACACATTCAATACTTACATGTTTAATATTTATTTTGTTTTACACTGGTATTCGTAGTAGTAATAGATTCTATTACGCCATATAAAATTGCCCGGAACTTATGGTGTCGGTAAATTTCGCTTGGTTTCCGTTAAAACGTATTGCTTATGTAGATTAATGGTATTGTATATATACGTTCAGACTTATTTTATTTTAATCTTACTAAACAGATCTCAGTGTTGGTTTTGAAGGAAAGATATATATACCACATAAAAATGCCAAGCCAATTTGAGTATTGGTTTGACCACAGTGTGACCCTTTCGTATTATATTTATGTCAGATTCTCCTTAATTAATGACGGCGTTTGGATCGATGTATGGTGTAATACACAGCGACTGTGCATGAGCACAATAGGTTAGATCTGTGTATAAATATAGTGTATTTGTAACGGATTGTTTTTTATATTCGTACTCTAGAGGGCCAAATGTTAAGTGATTCCAATATTTTTCTAACATAAAAAGCATTTATTATTTTTGTATTTTTTGCACAAACAACTTAGACGAGTTATCTATCATTTGTTGAAATGTTTAAGTAGATTCCAAAAGCGTAGGCCAATGAAAGAAGTCTTTCATAGGATTATTTTGTGGTATATATTTTGCCTGCACAAATACTGGAGGCATTTCGTTTCTATTCTATGTTGTAAGAAAAAAGTGCTCTATTCTGTGTAGCATATTAGAACTCAATGTTTGACAAAGTAATGTAGTTTAGTGCAATAAAACCAGAGGTTAATATTACTACGGTTGAAACTGGCAGGTGAGCCATTATGTTTATGAAGACTTAAACTTGTGAATGGTCTGTTGTTATAAATTAATATTCTAAGACACAATGAGCATTAGGTCCATAGGTAAATAAAAACCCTTTCGCTGGGAATTTCGAAACTGAAAGCGGGTCTTTATATAGCGTGATTCCCTGAACGGTCTTAGGCAGGCTTATTTTTCGTAATTTAGTGTTAAATTGTTGATATTGTATATTGTAGAAAACTAGGATTATTAGTATTTGCATTATTGTATGTCTTTGGCACAGTTAAGTCAGCCAAAAACCAGAGAGGCGGAGAGTTGTTTTGCGAATGATGTAAGACAGTTGAGGTGTTATTGAGAAGTAGCTTTCATTCGTACCATGTAAACAATGTGACTTATTTTTTTACACAAATATTTTTACACCTACTTTGCACAGTGAAAACTGGCACTCAGCTGCTCAATTGCCAAAAAGGTGCTTTTATATGTAGTAATCCACGCCATAGGAGATTACGTTAATTTACGCATACTTGTTCATTGCAGTGACACAAGCCTTTTCGTATTGGCGCTTTTGCTGTGATTGGATGGCATTTTCAGTTTTCCGGTAACTACAGTTTTTTTGTTCATGATAATTGTCAGTATTCATTTTTGTAATAATAGGGATAGCTTTAACAAGAAAAGAAGCTTTTAAAACACACTACTGCTTCTCAGTTAGATATTTTGACATTTTTCTTTTACATATATAACCAATATTGTGTACAAATAAGTACCACCACGAGTTTTACTGAAACAGTATTATCATATGTACAGCAAACACTTGTTGAATGAAGTGATTGCACATTATCACAACACGTTTGGTTAACTTTGTATAGTAAAATACATGCACTCCAACAGTAACACACACACACACACACACACACACACACACGGCGTGGCATCGATCAAGTCTCGTAAAGCGGATCTGTGTTATCAACAGAGCTAGACTCTGTACCTTTATAAATTAATGTAATTATTATTTATAAGTTAACCTCATTTTTGCCTAGCACCTGTAATTATGCAAAAAAAGTAGTATGTAAGCTAAGCTGCTGGACGGAAATTATTTTTAAAATACTAACAGCACCATATGCTCTTGCCAGTTAATTGTTTATAATAAGAAACATTTTAAATCACCACACCACAGCACAGGGCATGAATAAAAGTTTATTTTCAATAAGAACCAACGTTGCGTTGATCTCCTTGAACAATTGCAAGCCCACATAGTGAGAATTTCTTTTACAGAATTCAATAATTTAGCTCTGTTTCCTTTAAAATACAATGGTTTGTAGTAAAGAAGTCTTCTTTTTTATACAATGCTGGAAAAGCTTTGTAAATTATTAACACGTAGGTAAGTGCATGGCGAGGCGTGCAAAATGCTTTTCATTGCATAAGGCAGGAGACTCACAGGTCAATGCGTTTGTTGCGACAATAACAATTGGCCTGACGACTTGTGGAGTGACTTTTTGCCGTTTATGGAGCAATGGACAGGTGCGCACGGTTCAATGTATATTCGTAACGAGCTTAAAGTATTGAGTTTTAGGTCATCATCTTGGCTTGACTTCACGAAGTAAGATCGGAGGAGGGAATAGCTTATGCCGGTTACAGGCAATTGTTGTGAACAATGGAACGCAATGGTATATAACTATCCATTTGCACTGATAATATAAAGTAGTTATACCCCCTTTACACTGGACGGCGTCCTTTCTGCATCGCATCGCTGTGGTCTTAATAAGGAGGCACGAGCATTGATTTTGTATCAGAATGAATGCTCAATGATCGGCCAGTTGTCGGCACGTAAAGTATTATAATTTTTTAACTCTCAAATGGGGCCGTACTGCTGGACGCAGAAAGGACGCCGTCCAATGTAAAGGGGGCTTTAATGAGGCAGAGATTGCCAAAGACTTTAAAATGAAAATACAATTTTGTCAATTAAAATCAATGAAATGCATGAATTGAGAACGACGAAAACAGCGATTGTTTGTTTGACGCAATTTTACTGAATTAAGAACAAAGTGAAGTAAAAGAGTTGTTTGATATTGGTTTATGTACTTGGTCTTAAATTAACCAGTGCCAGCGACAGGTGACCATCCAAAACCAGTCAAACATCACTGTATTCGCAACGCCCCATTCCCCGGGCAGAGACCTCAGTCAACCGATTTTTACCATTACTCTCCGAACCTTTTTCTTTTTAAATGGTTAGCCCCTCCTTCCTCGCCCCGTATAGTGACAACATAATATCTAAACTAGTTAATGCTAAACTGTATTTTCGAGTGCATTTCTGATCTTGAAAAATATCATGAAATTCCATGCGAGGGTACATGGCTCCCAAATACCACGCAGTGCAATGAGGCAGGAGGGAGCAAGTGAGCTTTGTGCTGCAGACGACACATAACTTTCGCCAGATAGATAAGAGGGGATGTAGATTTTCAAAGAGAATGTTGTATTTGCTTACATCCCAGGAACCTGTGATGCAGAGAAGCAAAATACAGTCGTCAAATTTATTTCAACTAAAAGGAATGAATATCATTGAGATTTCCACATATTAATCAAGTGCATTAGTAAAAGAAAAATAAAATAATCTATCATCCTTAAAAATATCTACAGGGTATTTTCTACCCATGACCTTTTGACTTAGTTTTCATCAGCTTGCACGCCACGACCAAGATTCGTAGTAGGGGAGACCGGGGCAAGTTGGCCCAGTTAGACACTTTTGGCCTTGTAGAGCCAACTAGGAGTGGGTTAGAGTTACAAAACCGGTTTCAAAGTAAGCCCCATGAACTAAGCTACGTATGCAACGTCATTATTTTTCAAATATAATACCAGGTGGCTCACAATTTGACAAAAAACGCAGTTGACGTTAGGGGGGCCAACTTGCCCCGCCATGGGGCAAGTTGGTCCCAGGGTTGGGGCAAGTTGGCCCCCCTATACGAAAATGAAGTATATATCCCATGTAAACGCCTTGAAATACATTTTTATAAATTATTTATTTATTTAATTGATTTTTGAGAGTCTTTGATGAATAAACAGTTCAAATGAGGCAGATTTATTGAGGTTTCCGTACGTCACGTTGTTGGGGGGGTATGTGTTGCAAGAACCAAAATATCTATCAATAAAAGTTGTTTTGTTTTAATTAAGAATAAATAAATAATGGTATAAAGAGGGTTTTAATGAATGAAAACGAATAATAAATTTTCTTTTAAAAAGAAAGTAACAAATTCAGTTTTAAACCAATGAGTTTGTTTCAACAATGGTCTCTAGCTAGGGAAGGGTGGAAAATCCCCTTGGGGCCACATATAACACTATAAATACAAAGGGAATCCCCTTACAATGAATTAAGGCAAAATAAATGTTTTTTCTACGGAAAGTCCAATGGATTTGCTTTTTAATACTTACAATCAACAGAATATTTCTAATATAAATTCTCAAAAAGACACCAGAGAGAAAATTTAAAAAATCAATCAGACGGTAATAGACACCGGCAAGCTTTGTCAATTTCACCAACTTGTTTATTTCAAACAGCGTTGCGCGCAAAGGTTTGTGGGTAATATGAGGGTCCAACTTGCCCCGAGTCAAGGGGGCCAACTATTTTAAAGGATGGTAGCCATTTATGGTGCTAGAATGAGCAACGATGATACATCTCTGTGAAACTTGAAACAATGAGCTTCAGTTTGATGCCCTATACATATCTTATATTTGATCAAAAGCCTATGATAATAGATTTTTAAATCTCTTAAACAAAATTACTTTTAGGTGCAAAAATCGTTTATTTCGACTCACCGCTTAAGTAAAACTTTTTAACGTCCGACACTTCCTTAGCATTGTAGGCTACGGTCACTTTGCAAGAGGCCTATGTGGCCAATTTTTTTACCTCGTAGTTACTTTTTCATAAATTGACGGGGGGCCAACTTACCCCGGGGTCCAACTAGCCCCGGTCTCCCCTAATTTTAAGACAGTTGCTTCCTTTGATGCACACTTATGGAGTGTTACTACTGAAGATTCATTGCTCTGAGTGAGGTCAGAAATTCTTCTAAAAAGAGGGTGGGATGGAGATATCATCATGTGTCAGGCCTGGTGCGGGCATGGTCCTCCCGTTTACTCCATTTTCAGTCGATTGGATGAGCTTGTTATTGAACAGTTGTTGATATTCATAAAAGACATCAATGTATGATATAATAGTCAATATCTGAAGTCACTTCTTGTTATTTTATAATTTATATGAATCAATTTAGGGATAATAGGCTGGATGACTGTAGTTTTATAGCCTATCCAAATCTTGTTCAGAAGAACGCAAAGAATCAGACGACTGAGAGTCAACCTGTGTCAGCAGCCCCTTCAGCGAGCCTCTTCTTAGAGTTTGAGGGGTAGGCGGCTTAAGCAGGCCCTTAATGACATCGCTCGAACTTCTAGCATGGTTTCGCCCACCGCCCGCGGTATTCAGACTGAGGCTCCGGGGCGGATTTACCCAGGCTACCTCTTGAGTTTCTACATTAGTACCGTCTGGATGATGTCTGGTGTTAGAGATCACCTTGGCTTGGCCCGATCTAACAGGTACTGATGCAGGAGTCGCCGAATTTATAGGGAATGCTGGTAAACTTACAGATGAAGGTACGCCAGACCTGGGCGCCGGCTTTGGAGACTTATCATCTTCAGTCACTGTTTGAGGAAAGGAGAAATATATCACGAAGATTTAAAGTGATTACCTCAAACAAACAAATAAACGTGTGAATGTATAAATTCATGATTACATAAAATAAATGCATTCTGTATAAACAATATAGAAAGTACGAGAGAGCAATAAAATTGAACAAATCTAGCTTTTATAAAATACTGGTAATCTGACATTATGCCCAACCCTGCTGCAAAGAAAACAGTAAAACGCAAAATCATTATATGATTCGTAAATATCGCATTAAAAACTGATTCAGCCTACAACAGAAAGAAATAATTCCTACATATCTGGACATACACCTTTTCACTGCTGACGTTAGCCCCATAAAGGGGTTGGCCATAGTGAAAAAAAAAAGGCAAAGACATTCGGTCCTATATATACTTATATTCGCAAACACGTGTACATATTTATACATGCGGTACGAGAAAAACCAACTATTTTCAGCATATTTGAGATATCTACCCAGATCAGAAACTTACGTTCTGCTCCCTGTTCCAGTAACCTAGAGCTGATTTTCTCTCGCAACGCCTGCAGCGCCTCGGGGATCACCATGGACTGAGACGGTGTCGGGAGCACGCTTCCTTGTGGAGTCACCGGAGACTTGGGATTCTCTTGTACAGCTTTCACTGGGAATAAGAAAAGAAAGATGTATTATGGGACGATTATAAAATGACTCCTTTTATAATAATAATAATAAATGCTAACATGTATCAGTGACTATGATGACTTGTTTTGTCTTATTTCTAAAATTTATTTCCGTATTTTTATCTCATCAAAAAAAAAAATGTGTCCGTATTCTGAGATCAACTATATACTTCAACTTTGGGCCATCCGACTCACTATATATAACTTTCATTATTACAATAAGAATATGGGATGTTGTATTGGTAGGGCTGTCAACTGAGATGTCATTTCTGCAGTAGGAGACTAATTAATGAGTAGCACAAAACATGAGTATACATGTTTGAGTAAACCATGAAAGAAAATCACCTTCCGATATATCAACGTTATGACGTTCTTGCTCAAGTTTAAACAGATATCTCTTCGCGATGTGTCTTATGGTCGTCTTGTACTCTCTACTTGGCTGTCTGTTAGCCATCTGAAGGAAAAAGAGGCGACTCAAGATCACTTGCGGACTTGATTGTACCTCCACTATATATAAGTTCATTATAATTTCTTTCACAGCTTAAGTCTGAATCTCAATTTAATCACTTTTTGTAACAGAAATGATCCAGTTATCTTCATCAAATTGCAAAACATCTAACCCGTGTTCCCAACTCTTATTACAACTTTGTACTCCTTCACCATGCAAGAACGAGAACATTGATTGGGAACAGCCTTACCTCCTTTTCTGAGTGCCTCTTACATCTATGGTAAGTTTTACCAAGTTTCGTGAAAACGTAAAGGAACGACTTCGGAGATGGAATGATATTGAAAGGCGCTGGTAAAGTGTAGCCATGTTCTATGCTGACCAACCAGAGTCTGGCCCGAGCGAACTTCCACTCTTGATCCGTATCTGCCTGAGGAAGAAATAGGTAGTGGACGTGATATTGTGATTCCACTCTCAACCTTTCGATTCATTGCGTGAGATGCCATTTTCTCACCACTGATGTGATATTGCTATTACATTGTTCTCCATTGCCCTCTGTTGCCTTAGGGTATTGTGCTGCACTGGCTTGTTTTAATTGTGATTTACAGAAGATCTGCTTGATGGTAAACATGTCTTGCATAAACCCAGCAATAACAGCACTTGGAAAACATCGTGTACATTTTGATTCACTTTCACTGTTTAACATTTTACTGTTTCATTTAACCATGGCTGTTTGATATTTCGGCTTATCGTCGGTATACGTTACATTAATTTTACTCTACAATACATTTAGCACGATCGCAGGTCCGTTTCTCGTTTCTTGAACAATGCGTATATTCATGTAGTACATTAATGAATTGATAGTTTAATTTTGAGCAATTAAGAGTATATGCATGCGTGAAAAAATGAGAAAACGCTGTTTTTACCTGCACGTCCTCAAAACTGTGGCTCATCAGAGCTATGAGCATATTCAGAATGATAATAATCATGGCGGCATGATAGGCCGCGAAAAGGACGGTGCCCACCCCTTCCACCAGGCGTGGAGATCCGGGCACCTGAAAGACTGTGCGAAGATTTATGACAAGAAGGTAATATATTGCACAGAAAACGAAATAATTAAAGATGCATATGAGCTCAATTTTATTTGCCACAAAAGTAGATCTAATGTCAACACATGCTGGTAGTTTCAGACAGTATAACTTAATATAACTTAATATAACTATAACAGAAATACATAAAAGACATCCTTTTATATTACCCGAAAAATGGTATTTGAATGGATTTATCTGCTTGCTTTCTATGCTGTATATAAATGGGTCAGATACGTAGGTCAGGTAAGTACGGAGGGTTAAGTTAATTACCAAAGATTTTTAGAAGGTGCATTTTAAAGCTTTTTTTAAGGCTAATCACACGATTAATTCGGTTTATCCCTTGGCATGTCGACTGTATTTGAGTCGTATAACTAAACTAATAGAAGTGGTTTATATTTGTTACTGGGAATCCATGCCCCACCGACGCTCGNGCAGTCTGCCATGAAAAGCACCAACGCAAAAATTGAATTCAAAGGTTCGCAAATCCGTGAGCTCAAACTCATGCTTAACACAAAAGACGAAACTACGATGAAATTAAAGGAAGATTATAACACGGAACTGAAACACCAAGAAAAAGCGTTCACGGAATCTCTAAATAGAAAAGATCGTGAGAACAAGCAACTGGCGGAGGAAATGGCCAAAGTTAAAGGAGAAATGGCTTCACAGGCGGACAGACTTCAGAAGGAAATGTTAGCAGAGAATGAATGCCACAAAGTTGTTGTTAAAGGTCTGCAGAACGAAAAATCCCGTTTAAACGACAAACTGAAGGAAGCCAGAGAAGACCTTCGTAAATTAGAAGAACATGTAAACGAGCTTGCAAGCAAGAACACGTGGTGGGAAAAGGCGTCACGCGCTCGATCCTCCATGACTGAAAGTGTAGAAACAATCACGCGATCAAACCGAGAGCTTACCAAACAACTAGACGAGCTAAAACAGGGTAATAAAGACAAAGATGATCACATTCAAAAATTGCAAGTAGAATGTATGGAACTTCACAAGACTTTGGAATCGCAAATGGAAGAATGCAAAGGACATACGGAAGAAATTGAAAGACTTACGACAGAGCTGCAAAAGAATACTGTGGGTGCCGCTTTACTTACAAATAAGAACTTCATTAAAACACGTCTTACCCAATCTCAGCCAAAATCTGGGAGCAGTGACAGAACCACAAGTAAACTTTCTCTTCCGCCGACGTCAGATTCAAGATCGGGATCAAGTAAAGGGACCATGAAAGGGGCCAGAGTTAAGGGTGTGAAGCTTCCAGCTAGTAAGAGAGAGTCTTAAGTTTGTTCTTTTTTGTTCCAGTATTAGACATTTAATACTTACATGTGTAATATTTATTTTGTTTTACACTGGTATTCGTAGTAGTAATAGATTCTATTACGCCATATAAAATTGCCCGGAACTTATGTTGTCGGTAAATTTCGCTTGGTTTCCGTTAAAACGTATTGATTATGTAGATTAATGGTATTGTATATATACGTTCAGATTTATTTTATTTTAATCTTACTAAACAGATCTCAGTGTTGGTTTTGAAGGAAAGATATATATATACCACATAAAAATGCCAAGCCAATTTGAGTATTGGTTTGACTACAGTGTGACCCTTTCGTATTATATTTATGTCAGATTCTCCTTAATTAATGACGGCGTTTGGATCGATGTATGGTGTAATACACAGCCACTGTGCATGAGCACAATAGGTTAGATCTGTGTATAAATATAGTGTATTTGTAACGGATTGTTTTTTATATTCGTACTCTAAAGGGCCAAATGTTAAGTGATTCCAATATTTTTCTAACATAAAAAGCATTTATTATTTTTGTATTTTTTGCACAAACAACTTAGACGAGTTATCTATCATTTGTTGAAATGTTTAAGTAGATTCCAAAAGCGTAGGCCAATGAAAGAAGTCTTTCATAGGATTATTTTGTGGTATATTTTGCCTGCACAAATACTGGAGGCATTTCGTTTCTATTCTATGTTGTAAGAAAAAAGTGCTCTATTCTGTGTAGCATATTAGAACTCAATGTTTGACAAAGTAATGTAGTTTAGTGCAATAAAACCAGAGGTTAATATTACTACGGTTGAAACTGGCAGGTGAAACTTGTGAATTGTCTGTTGTTATAAATTGATATTCTAAGACACAATGAGCATTAGGTCCATAGGTAAATAAAAACCCTTTCGCTGGGAATTTCGAAACTGAAAGCGGGTCTTTATATAGCGTGATTCCCTGAACGGTCTTAGACAGGCTGATTTTTCGTAATTTAGTGTTAAATTGTTGATATTGTATATTGTAGAAAACTAGGATTATTAGTATTTGCATTATTGTATGTCTTTGGCACAGTAAAGTCAGCCAAAAACCAGAGAGTTGGAGAGTTGTTTTGCGAATGATGTAAGACAGTTGAGGTGTTATTGAGAAGTAGCTTTCATTCGTACCATGTAAACAATGTGACTTATTTTTTTACACAAATATTTTTACACCTATTTTGCACAGTGAAGACTGGCACTCAGCTGCTCAATTGCCAAAAAGGTGCTTTTATATGTAGTAATCCACGCCATAGGAGATTACGTTAATTTACGCATACTTGTTCATTGCAGTGACACAAGCCTTTTCGTATTGGCGCTTTTGCTGTGATTGGATGGCATTTTCAGTTTTCCGGTAACTACAGTTTTTTTGTTCATGATAATTGTCAGTATTCATTTTTGTAATAATAGGGATAGCTTTAACAAGAAAAGTAGCTTTTAAAACACACTACTGCTTCTCAGTTAGATATTTTGACATTTTTATTTTACATATATAACCAATATTGTGTACAAATAAGTACCACCACGAGTTTTACTGAAACAGTATTATCATATGTACAGCAAACACTTGTTGAATGAAGTGATTGCACATTATCACAACACGTTTGGTTAACTTTGTATAGTAAAATACATGCACTCCAACAGTAACACACACACACACACACACACACACACACACACACACACGGCGTGGCATCGATCAAGTCTCGTAAAGCGGATCTGTGTTATCAACAGAGCTAGACTCTGTACCTTTATAAATTAATGTAATTATTATTTATAAGTTAACCTCATTTTTGCCTAGCACCTGTAATTATGCAAAAAAATTAGTATGTAAGCTAAGCTGCTGGACGGAAATTATTTTTAAAATACTAACAGCACCATATGCTCTTGCCAGTTAATTGTTTATAATAAGAAACATTTTAAATCACCACACCATAGCACAGGGCATGAATAAAAGTTTATTTTCAATAAGAACCAACGTTGCGTTGATCTCCTTGAACAATTGCAAGCCCACATAGTGAGAATTTCTTTTACAGAATTCAATAATTTAGCTCTGTTTCCTTTAAAATACAATGGTTTGTAGTAAAGAAGTCTTCTTTTTTATACAATGCTGGAAAAGCTTTGTAAATTATTAACACGTAGGTAAGTGCATGGCGAGGCGTGCAAAATGCTTTTCATTGCATAAGGCAGGAGACTCACAGGTCAATGCGTTTGTTGCGACAATAACAATTGGCCTGACGACCTGTGGAGTGACTTTTTGCCGTTTATGGAGCAATGGACAGGTGCGCACGGTTCAATGTATATTCGTAACGAGCTTAAAGTATTGAGTTTTAGGTCATCATCTTGGCTTGACTTCACGAATTAAGATCGGAGGAGGGAATAGCTTATGCCGGTTACAGGCAATTGTTGTGAACATCATCATAAAATATAACTATCCATTTGCACTGATAATATAAAGTAGTTATACCCCCTTTACACTGGACGGCGTCCTTTCTGCATCGCATCGCTGTGGTCTTAATAAGGAGGCACGAGCATTGATTTTGTATCAGAATGAATGCTCAATGATCGGCCAGTTGTCGGCACGTAAAGTACTATAATTTTTTAACTCTGAAATGGGGCCGTACTGCTGGACGCAGAAAGGACGCCGTCCAATGTAAAGGGGGCTTTAATGAGGCAGAGATTGCCAAAGACTTTAAAATGAAAATACAATTTTGTCAATTAAAATCAATGAAATGCATGAATTGAGAACGACGAAAACAGCGATTGTTTGTTTGACGCAATTTTACTGAATTAAGAACAAAGTGAAGTAAAAGAGTTGTTTGATATTGGTTTATGTACTTGGTCTTAAATTAACCAGTGCCAGCGACAGGTGACCATCCAAAACCAGTCAAACATCACTGTATTCGCAACGCCCCATTATATCTCCGGGCAGAGACCTCAGTCAACCGATTTTTACCATTACTCTCCGAACCTTTTTCTTTTTAATTGGTTAGCCCCTCCTTCCTCGCCCCGTACAGTGACAACATAATATCTAAACTAGTTAATTCTAAACTGTATTTTCGAGTGCATTTCTAATCTTGAAAAAATATCATGAAAATTCCATGCGAGGGTACATGGCTTCCAAACACCACGCAATGCAATGAGGCAGGAGGGAGTAAGTGAGCTTTGTGCTGCAGACGACACTTAACTTTCGCCAGATAGATAAGACGGGATGTAAATTTTCAAAGAGAATGTTGTATTTGCTTACATCCCAGGAACCTGTGATGCAGAGAAGCAAAATACAGTCGTCAAATTTATTTCAACTAAAAGGAATGAATAGGGGAGACCGGGGCTAGTTGGACCCCGGGGTAAGTTCCTGTCCCCCCCCCCCCCCCCGTCAATTTATGAAAAGTAACTACGATGTAAAAAAATTGGCCACATACTCTTGTAAAGTGACCGTAGCCTATTATGCTAAGGAAGTGTCGGACGTTAAAAAGTTTTACTTAAGCGGTGAGTCGAAATAAACTTTTTTCCACCTAAAAGTAATTTTGTTTAAGAGATTTAAAAATCTATTTTCACATGCTTTTGGTCGAATATAAGATATGTATAGGGCATCAAACTGAAGCTCATTGTTTCAAGTTTCACGGAGATGTATCATCGTTGCTCATTCTAGCACCATAAATGGCTAACATCCTTTAAAATAAATCATGTGCACCCGGGGCTAGTTGGCCCCCTTGACTCGGGGCAAGTTGGACCCTCACATTACCCACAATCCTTTGCGCGCAACGCTGTTTGAAATAAACAAGTTGGTGAAATTGACAAAGTTTGCCGGTGTCTATTACCGTCTGATTGATTTTATTTAATTTGCTCTCTGGTGTCTTTTTGAAAATTTATATTAGAAATATTCTGTTGATTGTATGTATTAAAAAGCGAAACTTTCTTTAGAAAAACATTTATTTTGCCTTAATTCATTGTAAGGGGATTTACAGTGTTAGGGGCCTATATGTGGCCCCAAGGGGATTTTCCACCCCTCCCTAGCTAGAGACAATTGTTGAAACAAACTCAGTGGTTTAAAACTGAATTTGTTACTTTCTTTCATACGAAATTTATTAGTCGTTTTCATTCGTTAAAAACCTGCTTTATACCATTATTAATTTATTCTTAATTAAAACAAAACAAATTTTATTGATAGATATTTTGGTTCTTGCAACACATACCCCCCCCCCTACAACGTGACGTACGGAAACCTAAAAAAAAATCTGCCTCATTTGAACTATTTATTCATCGAAGACTCTCAAAAATCAATTTAATAAATTAAAAATTTATAAAAATTTATTTCAAGGCGTTTACATGGGATATATACTTCATTTTCGTATAGGGGGGGCCAACTTGCCCCGACCCTGGGGCCAACTTGCCCCGTGGCGGGGCAAGTTGGCCCCCCTGACGTCAACTGCGTTTTTTGTCAAATCGTGAGCCATCTGGCATTATGTTTGAAAAATAATGGCGTTGCATACGTAGCTTAGTTCATAGGGCTTACTCTGAAACCGGTTTAGTTACTCTAACCCATTCCTAGTTGGCTCTACAAGGCCAAAAGTGTCTAACGGGGCCAACTAGCCCCGGTCTCCCCTATCATTGAGATTTCCACATATTAATCAAGTGCATTAGTAAAAGAAAAATAAAATAATCTATCATCCTTAAAAATATCTACAGGGTGTTTTCTACCCATGACCTTTTGACTTAGTTTTCATCAGCTTGCACGCCACGACCAAGATTTGTAGTAATTTTAAGACAGTTGCTTCCTTTGATGTACACTTATGGGGTGTTACTACGGAAGATTCATTCCTCTGATAATGCGGCTTGCTTGAGTGAGGTCAGAAATTCTTCTAAAGAGAGGGTGGGATGGAGATATCATCATGTGTCAGGCCTGGTGCGGGCATGGTCCTCCCGTTTACTCCATTTTCAGTCGATTGGATGAGCTCGTTATTGAACAGTTGTTAATATGCATTAAAGACATCAATGTATGATATAATAGTCAATATCTGAAGTCACTTCTTGTTATTTTATAATTTATATGAATCAATTTAGGGATAATAGGTTGGATGACTGTAGTTTTATAGCCTATCCAAATCTTGTTCAGAAGAACGCAAAGAATCAGACGACTGAGAGTCAACCTGTGTCAGCAGCCCCTTCAGCGAGCCTCTTCTTAGAGTTTGAGGGGTAGGCGGCTTAAGCAGGCCCTTAATGACATCGCTCGAACTTCTAGCATGGCTTCGCCCACCGCCCGCGGTATTCAGACTGAGGCTCCGGGGCGGATTTACCCAGGCTACCTCTTGAGTTTCTATATTAGTACCGTCTGGACGATGTCTGGTGTTAGAGATCACCTTGGCTTGGCCCGATCTAACAGGTACTGATGCAGGAGTCGCCGAATTTATAGGGAATGCTGGTAAACTTACAGATGAAGGTACGCCAGACCTGGGCGCCGGCTTTGGAGACTTAGCATCTTCAGTCACTGTTTGAGGAAAGGAGAAATATATCACGAAGATTTAAAGTGATTACCCCAAACAAACAAATAAACGTGTGAATGTATTAATTCATGATTACATAAAATAAATGCATACTGTATAAACATTATAGAAAGTACGAGAGAGCAATAAAATTGAACATATCTTAGAAATTCTAGCTTTTATAAAGTACTGGTAATCTGACTTTATGCCAAGCCCTGCTGCAAAGAAAACAGTAAAACGCAAAATCATTATAGGAATAGTAAATATCGCATTAAAACTGATTCAGCCTACAACAGAAAGAAATAATTCCTACATATCTGGACATACACCTTTTCACTGCTGACGTTAGTCCCATAAAAGGGTTGACCATAGTGAAAAAAAAAGGCAAAGACATTCGGTCCTATATATTCAACAAACGCAAACACGTGTACATATTTATACATGCGGTACGAGAAAAACCAACTAGTCACTTGTATTTTCAGCATTTTTGAGATTTCTACCCATTATACTGTAGAGGTGACAAGAAACTTACGTTCTGCTCCCTGTTCCAGTAACCTAGAGCTGATTTTCTCTCGCAACGCCTGCAGCGCCTCGGGGATCACCATGGACTGAGACGGTGTCGGGAGCACGCTTCCTTGTGGAGTCACCGGAGACTTGGGATTCTCTTGTACAGCTTTCACTTTGAACAAGAAAAGAAAGGTGTATTATGGAACGATTATAAAATGACACCTTTTATAAAATATAATAATAATAATAAGTGCTAGTATGTATCAGTGAGTATGGTTACTTGTTTTGTCTTATTTCTAAAATTTATTTCTGTATTTTTATATTATCAAAAAAAATTGTGTTCGTATTCTGAGACAACTATATACTTTAACTTTGAGCTCATCAGCCCCTCTCTCTCTCTCTCTCTCTCTCTCTCTCTCTCTCTCTCTGTCTATATATATATATATATATATATATAACTTTCAATACTACAATAAGAATATGAGATGTTGTATTGGTAGGGCTGTCATTTCTGCAGTAGGAGACTAATTAATGAATAGCACAAAACATGAGTATGTATGTTTATGTAAACCATGAAAGGAAATCACCTTCCGATATATCAACGTTATGACGTTCTTGCTCAAGTTTAAACAGATATCTCTTCGCGATGTGTCTTATGGTCGTCTTGTACTCTCTACTTGGCTGTCTGTTAGCCATCTGAAGGAAAAAGAGGCGACTCAAGATCACTTGTGGACTTGATTGTACCTCTATCCGTTCATTATAATTTCTTTCACAGCTTAAATCTGAATCTCAATTTTAATCGCTTTCATATAACAGAAATGATCCAGTTATCTACATCAAATTGCAAAACATCTAACCCGTGTTCCCAACTCTTATAACAACTTTGTACTCCTTCACCATGCAAGAACGAGAACATTGGTTGGGAACAACCCTACCTCCTTTTCTGAGTGCCTCTTACATCTATGGTAAGTTTTACCAAGTTTCGTGAAAACGTAAAGGAACGACTTTGGAGATGGAATGATATTGAAAGGCGCTGGTAAAGTGTAGCCATGTTCTATGCTGACCAACCAGAGTCTGGCTCGAGCGAACTTCCACTCCTGATCCGTGTCTGCCTGAGGAAGAAATAGGCAGTGGGCGTGATATTGTGATTCCACTCTCAACCTGTCGCTTCATTATGTGAGGTGCCATTTTCTCACCATTTACACTGATGTGACATTGCGTTACATTGTTCTCCATTGCCCTCTGTTGCCTTAGCGTATTGTGCTGCACTGGCTTGTTACCTCCGCCAAGGAGGTTATGTTTTCACCCCTGTCTGTTTGTTTGTCATCAACATAACTCAAAAAGTTATGGACCGATTTTGATGAAATTTTCAGGTAGTTGGGAAATGTGTTAACTTAGAAGTTATTAGTTTTTGGTGGTGATCCGGATCAATAATCAATAATAATCAAAATCGCTGCCTTGGCGGAGGTCTGCGCTCTCGTTTTAATTGTGATTTACAGAAGATCTGCTCGATGATTAACATGTCTTGCATAAACCCAGCAATAACAACACTTGGAAAACATCGTGTACATTTTCATTCACTTTCACTATTTAACATTTTACTGTTTCATTTAACCATGGCTATTTGATATTTCGGCTTATCGTCGGTATACGTTACATTAATTTTACTCTACAATACATTTGGTGCGATCGCGGGTCCGTTTCTCGTTTCTTGAACAATACGTATAGAAATGTAGTACATTAATGAATTGATAGTTTAATTAAGAGTATATGCATGTGTGAAAAAATGAGAAAACACTGTTTTTACCTGCACGTCTTCAAAACTGTGGCTCATCAGAGCTATGAGCATATTCAGAATGATAATAATCATGGCGGCATGATAGGCCGCGAAAAGGACGGTGCCGACCCCTTCTACCAGGCGTGGAGATCCAGGCACCTGAAAGACTGTGCGAAGATTTGTGACAAGAAGGTAATATATTGCACAGAAAACGAAATAATTAAAGATGCTCATATGCATCTTTAATTTTTTGCCACAAAAGTAGATCTAATGTCAACACATGCTGGTAGTTTCAGACAGTATAACTTAATATAACTATAACAGAAATACATAAAAGACATCCTTTTATATTACCCGAAAAATGGTATTTGAATGGATTTATCTGCTTGCTTTCTATGTTGTATATAAATGGGTCAGATAAGTAGGTCAGGTAAGTACGGTAGGTTAAGTTAATTACCAAAGATTTTTAGAAGGTGCATTTTAAAGCTTTTTTTAAGGCTAATCACACGATTAATTCGGTTTATCCCTTGGCATGTCGACTGTATTTCAGTCGTATAACTAAACTAATAGAAGTGGTTTATATGTGTTACTGGGAATCCATGCCCGAACCGACGCTTGGTTCATACGTACCTTTAAAGTCGTTATTCATAAACAGCACTTACTTTGCTTCTCTCCGGCAGCTATGGCGGTGTCTCCTTTATCCACCAGTCCGAATAAAGCCCAAAACAATGTGGCGAACGTTTGCGACAAGCTGAAATGGATTGTCAAAAAAGATTCAGACATTTATTAAAACAGGTAGATGTTTGAAATTAGGGTCAAACAACAAAACCCCTTGAAAGTTATACAAGTGCATGCATGCAATTAAAATCCAGTTTATGATATAAAGGCTGGGGGGGGGGGGGCGTAAAACACATCTAACCAATTGTTCTGGCGTAACCGAGGCGACCCTTTATGACGTCATTATCAACTATAATCTTGAAACTTACGCCTATTTATTACATCCGTGTATAAATTGGTGGCTTCAATAATTAATGACTTGACAATCTGACAGACATTATTTTACTGAAATACTTATTGGTAATAAGTGAGTAATAAAACATCCTTTTGGTTAAAATTTATTTTATTTATTTAACATTTATCTTTGCGATGCCTTGCCGCTACGCACCTCATCTGTGACGTCACCCACGTCACTATAGTTGCCATATATCTAAGTGATATTGTAAAGCAGCAAGATGAGTTGTCTATGCTTTTGTTTTAAAAGTCTGAAGTCGATGCGAGTAGATGATGGAACGATTAATTCCATATATGAAAAACAGTCAACAAGAAGCAGAGAAGATAAAGACATTGTTTTGAGATCGGATATTTTTCGAGCTGTGCCAAGTAGAGACGGAGAGGTCCCGCTGCACATGTTCAAGCACCCTATGAGAGAGTTCGCAGCTGGGTGTGGTCGTCCAGTAAAGCAGATAGACCTCAAGGTCCCACTATATTCAACCGCTTCCTCAAGAAGGGAAGATATTCCAGACCTCACGGGGCCCATGGAAAAAGCGACAGGAAAGGTTCTGTCTTCGCCAACTTTACCTGCATCTCCTAGCTTTGAGCCCCAAGCAACTGGCGCCGATAGGGCCACATTACAGCCTCAAGGTGAAAAAAACGCCTGTATAAAAGAAGTTATAAATATGTCTACTGCCAAAAGCTCAGCATTGTCCACGTCGAAGAATCCAAAACTTGCGACTTGTAAAGTCAAAGGACATAAGGGAGAGATGAGCAGTCAGCCAAACGCACCAAACGTGACCAACACTCTGCCATCAAGCTTCCCAGATTTGTTAGTGGCCCCACAACCTAAGAAACCACTCTTAATTCTGCTAAAGGAGCTTACAACAGACATAAGCAAGTTATTGGAGCCGGCTCCAATTCAGTTAGCCCGGCATAAAATGAAGAAACCAGTGAACTTGTCGACCATTTTTGACACTGCAACTGCTCCTACACAGGTATACCATTTACCAGATGGACACTCTCATGAAGTCCATGTAAGTCCGTATGAATTTGAGCGGCCAACCAAGACAAAGAAAACGGCGAAGCAGCGTTTGAAAAATATGAAGAAGAACCTCTTTCGGCTCAGCCCTCTTTCTAGTGGAAAAAAGAAAGACCGGATGGAAGACGGCCTGGTTTTCAAAGAGCTCCCTCCGATTCTAATGCCAAAACTGACGCCTCAGATGTACGAGGCAATCTGCCCAGCATTACCCGGTGCTGTCCCCGAGACAATGAAATATTCTCTTGTGGAACCAGACCTTCCTAATGCTAGTCAATTCACACGGTATGATACTAACGCTAAAGCAAGTTATGGTGTTTTAGTCTTGCAAATAAACATTTACTACTACTACAATTATTTTTATTTTTTGGACATGGCATTATTGTTCGTTTTGTTCCAGTTACGTGCATTTATTTTGTTTGCAGTATTATCAGTTGATAAAAGTATTATTCCAAGTTCTAATAATATTTCTCTATTTACCGGTAGGTTATACACAAATTTGCAGTTAATTTTAAAATTACTACATTCTTTTCAGAAATGACTCTGGTTGTGGATTAGAAAGAAACCTGTTCGAGCCTCTCGAGTCCCAACGTTCTCCAGCTACTAGCCTTAACGATGAACCTGATGAGATGAGCACTTCCCGTTTAAAGTAAACCCAATTTTCTAATATTTTTCCCTTTCTAAGTCGCCATTCTTATCAATTATAATAAAAATGATGTTTTATTATTACCCCTGATCTGTTTTTGTACTTATAATTAATTATTATTACTTATTCACTGAACAACAGTTCATGTATTCACGCTCACAAAAATTAATTAACCATCAATGTCTTTTTGCTTTTGTTAATTTCCAGACCTCGGTCTAGTGAGAAAGTGTCACCAGCAAGTTTCTTTAATGTAACCTTGCCAAACTGTCCCCAATATGACCATGACCTCAGCTTGGCACCGTACCTACCGAGAGCTTCTAGACCCGATACACCCCGCGCTGAAACTCCAACCGGTCCTAGCTCCCCCAAGTGGCCCAGGTTTCGATTTCCTTGGCAAAAGAAAAGAGGCGTGGCCCCACTTCCAGACGGTTCCAGTGAAAAGCCTGCAGAAGCTGCGAAACCCAAACGCCACAGACCACAAACCCCTTTCAGGAGAAAGAGAAGGGATGACACAAGCTCATAGACATATTGGAATGAGCAATATGACATAGTGCATAAGAAAAGATAACTGGGCAACGGTCAGTAAAATGCATTATTAACCAACGTGTGTATGTGTTTGTTCGTTTATAGCGAGCTTACGAGCGTGCGTACCCACGTGCACGCGTGTGTTGGCGTATACATCTGCGCAAGAAAAAATCNGCATGCAAAAAATAATAATAAATAAATAGATAAATAAATAAATAATAAATAAATATAAGAAAAACTACCATAACAAACATGCGTCGTAAACAACCCCACCCGGTATATATAGGGTTTATAATGTTATTGAATTAGCCACTGGACAACCGAGCAAAGCTATTTTATCGTAATAAACCTGTTATTTTATCGAGCAAAGCTATTTTATCGTAATAAACCTATTACTACGGCCTATTACAACGGTCATTTTCTGTGTATTCAAAACACAGGCCGCCAATAATGTTATTTCTTATTTTCTGGACTTTCTTGATAAGTGCCCATATACAGCTTTAGATACATTCTAATTAAAAAGTTGATTGCATTAAAATGTCCTTAAAAAATTGCCCAATTATTCTTGACTTACCCTCTGAAAGCCTCGTTGCTGACCGTTGAATCGCCGTGCTGTATGACGTACATACCGTAATACCAGTACAGGTTACATAGGCCTAGTACAAAAGCAGACATGATCTGCAAAATAATAAAAATAATTGTGAGCATTATGAATAATAACACTGATAGTGGAACTTGCATTCAGCAACTGGTCGACGTTGCGGTCTCAACCTGAGACCTCTCAATAGGAATATGACCTGAATGGACTGGTCACCTGATTCATTGTCATAGTTCATGTATCAGAATTATTCATAATTCTCATCCTTATTCTGCTGGGTGACATTTACTCAATTAAAATGATATGGATAGATTAATAAAAAAAGAAAAAAGCTGAAATAATAAAAAGGTATAGGCCCTATATTTGTGAAAACAAACTTGAATAAATCGCCCAGAATATTTTTAGTTCTGTTTTTCGTCTTCTTCTTTATTTGGGGGGTGGGGTGGGGTTGAACAAGTGAGGTTTCTTTCGGGGTTTCAATCAAAAGGTTATCTGCTTATTGGACAATAGTTGGTTTACACAGTATGACGTTGTATGGCAACTTACCAAAACAAACAATATAGTAAAACGGACAATATCCCCGAACATTCTGCCCAGCGAAATTTGCAGCGGACCTAAGAATTCAGCGACTGGCATAATGTAAGTCAGCCGTGAGAACGAGAGCACATTGGCCACGGCAAAAAGACAATCCGAAACAATTTCAGGGTCATACGGATCCCACCAGAATCGATCTGAAAAAAATCGGTATGTATTGATGGCCATGTTGAGAAGCACAGCTCACAATGAGGAATTGATGTCGTAAAACCATTTCAATATCGTTAATGTAAAGGATATAAAGCAAGGGCATAAATGAGATATTAATCCATTAATTACGACACCAGTGCATTAAGATGCTGTGCGGTATTTAGTATGCTTTACGTAAACTAGACGAACGCATCAGCTACAAATTCTTCTTTGCCTATAACTGGATTCTGTCTAACATAAGTTTCAATTTATTAATCAATCACATATTAAGAACCTGGGGCGCTTTTGCTAAATGCCGTCCTTTCATGAGAGATGCTTTAAACCTTTGAAAGTGCATGTGTATGCGTGTTTGTGAGTGCGTGATTGTGAGCGAGAGAGAGGGTATATGAGAGTGATCATATTTATAAGGGAGGAAGAACAATAGAACAATAATAATAGATAAATAACCTACCACCGCGAAGAAAATATGCCTGTGGTATTCTGCTTCCAAACAACTGCTGACGAAATTGCACATATTGTTCCACGCTATCACTACTGTTTGAAAACAGCAGCTGCCGCGCCAACTTGAGCTCGGCGTCAAAGAAGTATTGTGTTTCCATTATTTTCATCTGTGCTACGAACCGCAAAGCGTACGATGCAGCATAGAAGGCCATCATAAAGGTGTCGATGACGTTGTAAAAATCCCAGAAGTAATCTTTAAAACCAGAAAAATAAACCTGCTTGCACTCTGTCCAAAAAGAACCTAGAGGAAAACAGATAAATGTATTGTAATATATATTTTGCGTGTCTGTTAAATATTTTTGTAACTGAATATTTCAATTATAAAGCAAATTTGGGAAGCAAGCCTCAAGTTACATTTGCAAAAGTGAAGTACATATACCTGTAAGTTTGGGAGAATGAACCTCCTCCTAACAGAGACATCCTGCATACCTACTCACGCAATGTTTGTCTTTGGATTTTAACTGGATTTTAACTACTTGTATAGACATAGTCTACAAGGAAATCATGCATTTTACAGCATTTTTATGTTTGGAAATGCATGTATAATTAGAGTAAAACAACAGGTACATCAACATCTAAAATTATGCACCATCAAAGCCAATGCATGGCAACTGAATGAGAAGGGGTGTAAGGGGAAGAATTAAAAGCATATTTTGAGTGGAAATGGTCCATGTTAATATTTCTTTGCGTTTTGTACAATCTTCTCTTTATACTACACAGTGCACTGTGTGGTAACGGAAGAGTAGATCAAATTAATTGAATTTTTACAATCTTGCTTGCAGGCCCATAAGCTTTATGGATTATTATTTTTTATTGAAAATACGCCCATACCTAAGATCCAGAAAACCAGACACCATTGTATATTGGTTACAAGGGCATCTTGCGCAGGTCGAAAGTCGTGGCGAAAACGAGCATCTTTTTTTAAAGTCCCCGAGGCGTCTCTCTCAGTGGTGTAGAAATCCAATCGGAATGTTGCCAAGGCAATCAGGAGTAGAAAACAGATATAAGAGACCGTTCTTGTTGCCAGTTTAACCGCTGGGGTTTTCAGTGCCATCCCAACCTACCAGGAAGGAAATGTGTGAAAACAATGGTCATAATTCATGACATTCACAATGAAAACGTTTTTTTTAAACTACAATGTAACATTATGGTGTTATGGTTTCTCATTTGGAAATTATTTATTCCAGCTTACATTTAAGAGCGTATAGAGCACAATAAACATGTTTTATTATACGCTTGGCGCTTTGGGTCGTGGACATAAAAGTAGCACAGGCTAATTGGATAGGGGGAAGGCTTCGTTGCTGAAACAAATTTGCAGATTCAACACACAAACAAACCAGTTGCAACCCAAGAAAGCGTGATCGACGTTTGTATGAACTTAGCACTGAAAAAAATGCTCGAAATGCAACATTAAACAACAATATAATGTTAATTGCGGAAAATCCAGGAATAGGCAATACACGAATGACTGTACCGAGCCTAGAGACCTTTAATGCCAGTTTTCAATAATTGTCGATGCTCATGCAATCCTGTATTGATTTTCTTGGAATCCCCAATGAGCATACTAAGAATGTTTTATTTTGGCCACGAACCAATCTTAGATCTATACAATGCCTGCTTGTGGTGCCCAGGCGATTAAACTCGCTTTTGTTTTAACAAGCTGGCTGCAGTTATCACGTAAGCACTGATTCACCATAACCAAAATATCATTTTTCATCTGTAGAGGTTGTTTGTTATCCAGCTGAAGTCATTAGCAGTGATTCCAAAATGTTACTAGGTTTGTGGTTTTCACGTGCCTTGAGGCAACCGTTTACGTATGATGAGTATGATAAAACATTGCGCATTTATTGTATTATACAGTATATCCTACAGATATTGGTTAGATGCTTGGAACTTGTGATAGAACCTTCAACAATATGCCGATTATTGGACTTCAAATAATTCCCCATATACGTTTCTGAAAATCTGCTAAGCGTTCAACACAATATAATTCATTATCTTCAAATGTAGTGCGTTTATATGGAGTGTTGGTACTTACATATGAATTTGGAGCAACTAGGTAAAGCAGGAAGAGGAGAGGCAAGAACGGTGTGATCACTATGATAACTGCAATTTTCTTCCACGATGCCAGGCTTTTCATGTGGTTGAAGCGGCCGTAGAAGATGGTGGACAAGTACTCCTGGGTGTGGGGGTGTGCAACAAACTGACGAAAAAAAAAACGAATGCTTCATAATGAAAAGTATTGTTTAAAGATTAATAAGCCCTGGGATACACTTGGACATATATAAATATATTAAATATTTTTCTCAACTAACAGGTGCATATATTGATTTTAATAATTATGCTTTATATATGATATGATTCATAATGGCTTGTATAGTTTCCACTACAACACGACTGTAGAATAAAATTTGATGCACATGTGAAATATTACAAGCCTAAAACAACCAGGGAGATATAATATAACATTAATTGAACTTTTTTTTTATTGCATATCTCAAATAAGTACAGATCTCAACAAAAAATACAAAATTTATAAATAACTATATAAAAATCACACTCACTCTCTCACTCACTCACTCACTCACAAAGAGACACTCAGTCATTTGCAATATATATATATATATATATATATATATATATATATATATATATATATATAGTTACTGTGTCATTTAATATATATGTCAACAACGATATATTGATAACCTAATAGTAAAATACTTAATAATACTTAATAAATAATATGATCTAATACAGATACAAACAAATATGTGTTTTACTATCAAATATCGGCAGGGGAACATACGCAGATAGAAGATATTAGTCTAGTGGGATTTTTGAAAAAGGGCTCTGCATAAGAAGCAAGGGGCATTTTGGGGTAAAAGTTGGGAACCAGGCTTATTAGCATAATTTTGGCATGCTGAATCCGATTTACCCGGTTCCCAAGAGAAATTTTACGTTTTTAACGGTCTAATTTGCAAAAAACAAAATGGCCGCCAGATTTCCAATTTTCTGCAATGTCTCTGTAACTAGACAGGCAAATATGACAAATGAAGTGTCCTTACCTATATTTTCAGGGTCGAGGAACAACATTAAGATGTTTCTGTTAGAATTAGGTTTACCCAATTTTCCTAAATATGCAAATTAGGACCGCCATTACTGAAAAGCCGTTTTACTTCTGTATCTCTGCAACTAGGCAAGCAAACATGACACATGAAGTGCCCACACCTATGTTCTCAGGGTCAGGGAATGTGATAAATCAAATGTCTTGTCTGATGGGTCGCACTGACTTTTTGCGTCGTGTCCGAGAAGCACCTTTGATTGTTTCTTCCCTGTATCTGCCAAACACAACATCAATCTGCTGATAGTTAGAACCTGCCTTCAGAGCTGCTCTTACGTATGAGTCAGCAAAACCACCAAAAGTCACTTCATTGTCAGGCTTTCCCAGTGAAACTACCATTGCTTGCTCATCAATTGTTAGGCAAGGCAAAGAGTCATTCAGTTCAGTTTCAGCAGGGCAGACTACGTCTTCTGTTAACATTTCTGCTAATACGGATTTGTTTCCGGTGCACAGTGTACCATTCATTTCAGCAAGTGATGCAGGGACCGGGAGAAGTTCATGCTTAAAGAGAGACGGCAAGTCAACTGTCCCATTTGCCTCGTAGGACCCCCCTGTCACTCCCCTAAATCTGCCACTGCACCTTGAATCTCATGAAGACCAAGAACAATGCATCCTCGTCCTGATTGAGTAGCTTCACTTTGAAAACGCACACTGCTAGAAAGTGGCTGAACATAGCAAGCGTTTCAGCTGCATACAAAAGTGTCCATCAACAAAGTGCTGATGTTGTTTTTGTGATACCTATGATTCCGCCTCCTTTCTTTAATAAATTAACTTTTTCTTTAGAAAAGTTGATCACATATGTCAATTGTGATCAGCTATATGTATAGCCAGGTGTGTCGGTTATTGTTCATTAGGCTGCTTTATCTGAAGCGCGGTTATATTAGGTAATATGTGGCAGTTTCTCTGAGCAGTCCTCTCTGGCTGGTTACAGAATTCGTATAAAAGGCATCAATTCAGCAGAATAAGTCTTCATATTTCGGTAATACCCAGTCAGAAGAGTTTGATGTTTTGCAGAATCTTAGCTGACCTTATGGTACGTGAACTAACGGCAGCAACTTGCCACACTATTGTTGCATTATGCCAGAATGGGCAGAAGCAAACTGCTATTGCCAGACAGCTGAATGTGTCCCAGGGAGCAGTTTCTAGTCTTACAGAGACCACTACCAGGACGTCTTAAAGTCACCACCAGAAGGGAAGACCGCTTGCTTCTGCAGTTATGTCGCAACAACCGGACAAAAACACCAGTGCTCTACAAAATGAGTGGCAAATTACCATTCAAAAGCTTGTTACTAGAACCCAAGTGAACGCAAGGCTACTTTTAGCCGGTTACCACGCTAGGCGACCTCAAAGGAAGCCTCTATTAACAGAGCAACACCAACACAATACTGGATCAAACTCTCAGAAACCTTTCTGTAGGAATGCCTCGCCGAATGAGGGCTCTGGTTGCAGCTAGAGGAGGCTGCACGCATTATTAACTGTTTCCATTTTTTTTAATTTGTCTTGATGTTTCTTTTGTTTAAGAGAAAATCCTTACCACCTGATATTTTTGATAATATTGAGTTCATACCTTGTTGTTATCTGCTATAAAATTACCCATGTGCTGTTTATAATGCTGGTTTGAATATTTAAATTAAATTTTTGATAATGTATTGACACAGGATGATTTATTAAAGGCATATCGAACATGATAAGAAGTGTTCTTTTCATTCATTACTAACAGATGGGGAAAAATCAAAGAAAATATGTTTGAAAAAAATTCCATATATAAATGTATATTCTTATAAATTGTGTGAATAATGTAGTCTAGTGAGCCTGCAAATGCATTCATACTGTAGTATCATTTAGTGCTCAATAAACTTATTATTACTATTATATTAAATGTCAAGTCTGTACATTGCATCACATGNTTACTATCAAATATCGGCAGGGGAACATACGCAGATAGACTATATCAGTCCAGGAAGAGAGGCTGCAGCTTTTTCCATTTTTCATTAAATTTATCTATTGTCATGTTTCTCAGACTTATATTTCTCTCTGCGATGTAGGCCTGTCTCCATTCTATTTTAATATTTTCTATGTTCGGGGTAATGTTTTTCATTTTAAATTTATATATAATAAATTTTGTTATGATCAGCAAACTGTTGAGCGCATTGCATTTCAAATTTGGAATTCCTAGAATTATATCAGATGCTGTTAATTGTAATACAAGTCCAGTCTTTAAATGGATCCAGTCTTGTATTTTTGCCCAAAGGGGAGCAATTACTTTGCACTCAATAAATAAGTGTTGAAGAGTTTCAGGGTGTTCGTTACAGAAGGAGCAGGTCTCTGTGTCTTTTATCCCAATTTTTCGTAAAAAATTATTTGTAGCTAAAATTCTTTTTGATACTCTAAATTGAAACCAGCGCAGTTTAGTATCTAAAGTACATTGGAAAGGAATGTTATTCAAGATTTTCCACTCTTCAGCTGTGAGAGGTTCTTTAGAAAGGAGTTCCCATTTTGACATTGCATTAGACTCATTAATTGAACTTAATTCCTCTAAATAATGACGTTCGGCCATAATAGTGCAATTGTTAAAGACCGGAAAAGTTTTTATAAACTTGAAATACAAGCTCCATTCTTTACCAGACTGCCCAAAAGCATATACTAGCGTAATGGGATATGATATGGGGCCAGCACGCTCAGAGTTTGAAGCAAAATTATTATCATTGCCAAGAAATAGACCAAAAGGCCATTAATCTTAAAACACAGGGCTATCAGCTATATATAAATATATATAAATAGAGGCCACCAGGGCAATCTTTCAATGATTTTGCCGTAGGCTGTTTCACACAAACCATCACTATAATGTCAAAAAAAGCTTTCAAAATGATTATTGATCGATACCGACCAGACGTTAACAGATAAAACATGCAACACACTAACATGTGATTGTGTGTAGGGGAACTAATAATAAATCGATCTTAATTGGTGTCGCAACTGGCGGTGATTATTGGTTCATGATTACAGATTTTAAGTTAAAACTTCGGCTGTGGCATTACAATACGTGCAATGTAATTACAGTTTGGTCATGATATGTAGAACAAGTTCACGGTGCAAATGACACTTTTATCATTAGCTGGTTGCATAGCTCTATTTATTTATTCAGTACTGCCATTTTATTCAGAGAATACCTGTGAATGACTCTTACCCAAATACAAAATTGTTGAAAGAAATAAAAAAGCAGACTTAGAGAAATATACCAGAAAAACATTTCATTAGCTGTGTTATGTTATTTTGTCTTCAATCAACAGCTTAATATTGAAATAGTTTACCGCCAATGAACGTTTGAGCATCCTAATAGTAATCAGTATGTACATGTATGAAGGCAGAGGGCTTTTTACTTATTTTTTCAGGGATATCACCCAACCTTTTTTATGGTTGAGATGATTCTGTGATACACAACAAAAATTGTGTTAATACCATGGGTATCTCTGAGTGCTTTCTCCAAAGTCCAAAAGTAGGTAGTTAATAAATCTAATATCTCTGTCATATCTCTGGTTTATAAAAGACATGTTTATGTCCAATAACCACATTTCTATGGGAGTGGTTTGTTGCCAGAGTACTGGCCATTATTTCACCACAAAAAATTCTTTCCAGGCATCTAAAATATCAACCCTCAATCTTTTAAAAAGTTTTTAAAGATTTCAAAAATAAATTCTGTACCACGTGTGATTAGTGTCTACATATTTTTTCTTCATTTTCAAGCCCCCACGCTCTTATAATAATGCTTCTTATAATTTTGTCGTGCTTATCATTCCAGAAAAAAGGCCCTTTTCTAATTCTTTTATCTGTCTCTGGATATGCGAGCGATAGAAATATATGATTAAATATCGAAAAAGCTAATGTTTTTATAACAGTTATTTTACAGTTGTTTTAAAGGTGTTATATTTCTTACTGTCCAAGCTGATTAAGTATCCTCTTGACTCTGTGTTTTGTTTCGTTATTTTCTACCCAAATCGATGTCGTATTCTATCCATAACATTTTGAATTTTGTTTTTCTGATTGATATTATGAAAAGATACTTTCTTTGAGTATCGTTTTGATAAATGTGCAAAATCATAAATATACAAAAGCATTTCAGTTCAACCAAGAGCTTTTATCAAATGGTCGGTTTAGCATATATGCATATTAATATTTAACTGTCAAAAATATGAAATTTTGACGAGGTATTGGAAACCACATTTCTTACAAGACAACAAAGAAAAGCATACAGTCTTCACCTTCTTCTCTTGTAAGTGCATTGCTAGTTTGAACCTGGCCAGTGGGTCTCGGCCGTCAGCGTCTGTGTCTCCTAATATAGCCTCCACTTCCTTTGTTGACCGACACAAGTCCATTAGCTCACACGAGAACTGAAGACACTGTCCTATCAGTACCTTGTAATCGTGCTGGAAAGTCAAAAATAATCACAAAATGTTGATTCTTCTGTCATAATTTTCGAATATCTTATAGCCATTCTCTTAAATATCAATATTTTAATATATCTAAAAATTTACATGTATTTTATGGTAAATAGCAGCAGTTTACCCCCCCCCCCCCCATAAAAAAGAAAGGAAATTTCAGAGAGCGTGAGATTATGATTTTGGCATTTGTGATTAAAGCAAAGAAGCGCAAAATAACAAGAAATAAGGCAACATTATCCACACAACATCACTCTCTCTTACAATAGGGATTCACTGTCTGAATCCTAGTAAAGAACAGATAGGAAAAAGCAATAATCGTAAGACATTATGGGAGTAAATAGTACGCATACAGGCCAACAGGGAGTTTTTTTTCATTACGATAGAGCTAATATTTTACTTTATATTGCATCTGGGGTACTACGTGTTCTAATGATGAAAAATTATAATCATAAAAATAAGTCCCATCATGTTCGCGAGGTTGAATAATAACGATAGTGCTATATAATACTGACCATAAATTCACTTTTCCTGGATACAATATATCGCAGTTCTTCTTTTAGTTGAAAAGTGGTTAGTATGGGGTCTTTGCTGGAGAGTATGATATAGGCAGGGCTGGCAAGAGCCCGGTAAGTGTTAAGGCGAGCTTGAGCAAGTCTGAGCGGTCCTGTCTCGTACAACTCAAGGCAATCAGAGCAGCTGCAGTTTAAGTTATGGGGCTTGGAAATCACATGTCCTCGAGAAAGAAACAATCTGATGATTTCGTGATAGTTGTATTGCGCGGCCAACATTAAAGGTGTAACATCGCAGGAAAAATGGCGGCGCTCTTCTTGTAGGCAGTGCAACCTCTTTCCAGCTTTCGTTTCCTCTTCGTGTTCCTTGTATACGGGGTGATTTGTAATCAAGCGTATGATGATTTCCTCCCTTTTAGTGATTGCATGTAAAAGGGCTTCCTCCACACTGGCAAAACTGAGGTGATCTAGCAACAGTTCAATCATTAACAAATCACGGCTATTGATAGCAAGGTGAAGGGGGTTTCTTCCCAAATAATCCACACAGTTATTGTCTAGAGAGTTTGATTCCAAGTATTGCTTTACAATGTCAATCTGGCCTAGTTCACATGCGCTAAGATACTGCCATTCTTCCACTGTCACCTGTTAAAGAAGTAATCTTAAATATTCAACAGCAATTTATTGAAATAGTGTGTGTGTGTGTGTGTGTGTGTGTGTGTGTGTGTGAGAGAGAGAGAGAGAGAGAGAGAGAGAGAGAGAGAGAGAGATTCAGATAAACCTAAACGACATAAGGTAAGACGGAACTACGGACATCAAGCACTCCTTTATAGGCATATTGGACTTAAAACTACAGCGTTCTGTTATTCACTGGTTTTCTCTTTAACAATTCACTGAATGTCTGAATTAAAATATACGACTGAAATATATGATCACATTTACATAAATCCAAATTTATTTTCTTCTATATGTATATTCAATCAATAATGCTTTTTCCCATTCATATTTCACTTTCCCTATCTATCCATAACAGATATCCATATCATTACCTGGTCTTCAATGAAGGAAATTGGTGTCAAGCGTCCGTCCATGATCTCTGTATATCCTTATGCTCGTGAAACCCCAAATATTGTACTAAAACGCATTGTAAGAACACCAACAACGGACAATACGATGTAAGCAGTCTTATAACCAGCAGATGCCTTAGTCATACTGTGGCTTAGTAATAGAATTCTCTTGTCTACATTTAGTTCAGAAAATCGATATTCGTCTGGAAATCTAGATCGAAAACGTATGATGAGTGCAAATCCGAGAGTAGTCTTGGGAAGCAGGGGTAACTCGGAAACCACTGTTTTCGGTAAATCAGTAGGACCAAAAGACTGCCGGTACTATTCAATATATTAGTTTAATATACGGGTAAAGGGATATGTTGTTATATTGTGCAAACAGAAAATGGTTATTTGTTTCACTGTATTTCATTGTTTTGACGCCGCCAGGCAGTATTTTAAAGAAATTTCATAAAGAAATATCAATCGTAGCGCTATATTAAGATCTTTTTTTTTTTTTTTTACTAAACTTTATAAATTGTCTAATTTTTTCCTTAATGTTGTAAACACGCTGCGTGTCCAATACATCCATTTTCTTCTCTGATTGTAAACTGATTGTGTTAGTTGGACATAAACGACATTCGTTTGGTTGTGACTATGTTGATTTGGTCATAATCCGATTTCCCATAAGCAACTAACCAACACAAGACACGCTTTTGTTGTATACAGCATAACATAGTACACAAGTTGAAAATAGGATTTTCTGTTTGTCAATTATAAGTGCATTTGGTGCTGAACAATGTTTAATGTTTTTATTTGCACATTAACATGGGATCCGTTCCACCTTCCCATGCATATCATTTGTATCTTAACGCCATATGGCGGACTCGCTATATGCCAAAGACTTCAATGCTCCAAGACTTCAATCCTATATATACATATGTTCTTGGTTACAAATAATAAAGTAAAAAGATTGAAATTACTATATAAAACCATTTCTATAAATAATAATGAATCTTATGGCAACTGCAAGGCACATCAGTATTAAATTTAGGCCACCAATCAATTTAGATTCGTGTTAGAAAAATATGCAGCTTCATCTGTACTAAACTTATTCTTTAGCCCGTCTTATTTTATTATTTTTTCTTCATACTTAATATACTGTAGAAACCGTGTACTTTAATCATCTACAAGTGCTAAAGAAAAAAAAACTATTAATTCTGTTTATTATGACGAAAACAGCAGCTACGATTAATAATGATACCCCTGTGCTTGTGAAGAGTAGGTGGCAAATTTTATATAGATTATAACTAAACAAAGGCAAAGTTTTGTAAGCGAGATTAAAAACCGTAAAAATCGCCCCGAGTCCTGTACTTAATATAAGTAATAGCACACGCACACACACACAAATATAACCGTCCGTATATTCATTAATATATATTAGAATCAATTACCTTTGTATATGTTTTCTCGAATTAAATAATCTTCATCTCCTATTACAATTGTTAAAAATCTAAATATCTTAACAAATGGCTACTTTTTTGTAGGTACGAAAATGTCAGTGCTTAAGTACAACCTCTGCAGCGGATTTCTAACCACACCCTCTCGCTGACAGTAGCTGACACAGGATTAAGGGAAAATGGGCGTTATACAAATATTTATGCTGAATCCTTGGATGTCACATGTTATCTTTCAGGGACGGATCCAATATATTCCACTTAGAGTGAGTCGGATAATCAGTACCAAATGTCATATATCCCTTGTCCAAAAACTATGAAGCAATAAGAGACCCTACAATGACGGATCTGTCAATATGTGGAATGATGCTTTTATAGATAAAAAGGGGTAGAAGTCGAACCCTTTGAATCATCTATAAAAGTGTGTCAGAAAGTGTTTGGCGCATTTGTAACCTTTAGAGCACAAGTGCAAAATAAAATTGTTAACCATTAAAGATTTGATTCTTGCTGAGATCCTCAAGTATTCGGTGTGTGATATCCATTTTTTGTTCTGAAAATGTGCAAAAAAAAAAAAAATGGTAGTAGCTGAAGTAGTGTGTTTGCCTTCAAACCTTAAGGGACAAGGGTTTCACAAATTCTACATTCCATATCATTGATACACCTGCTGCACACACCTGTGCAACTGCAGTAATTTATTCTGTCGAGGCACTATTTTCTCCGAAAGGCAACCCATAAACACAAACTGACCGCAAAATCTATTATTTCTGCCGCTGTCATCAAAGTGCTCCCCAGCACCAGGCCCAGCGCGCCACCTATATCTGAAAACAGCGCGAGACCGGAATATGCCGGCTGTTGCTCTATCCCTTGGAAATTCAACTCTTTATAGAATATCTGCAAAATCAGATAATTGTCTCGGAAAAAGTCCTCTGTAGTGCCAGGGTGGCCGGCAATCAATGCAGCCGTGACAGCGTTTGACATTTTAGAGTGGGAAATGGTATAACCGTAGTGGACTTCTTCACAAGGAACGGGGCACGCGCAGGCCTGTAGGGCAGCCGATGTATTTGCACGTAATTCGTCAAGGCATTCCCACCATTGTAGCGGAGAACATTCTGGAACACCGGGGACGTTTATCATATAGTAAGCCCGGCAGCCACAATTGTCCATCGTAAAATTCAATCTGAAAAAAAAAAGATTCGTTCCTCTATATCGGTTCTTTTCGCTTTCCATCCCCTAACACAAAGTTATAAACAGTCCACGGTTAATTACTTAGTGATTAAAAAGCATATTTTCAGTCATTAATATTATGGTAATAAGCAGTTAGCAGTCGTTATGTTACTTTTTTCATGAAAAGATTACAGATTCTAGTGCTCTAGTATCTAAATTCACTTTGTATCATACGTGAAGAGCAACCCCACCTATCCCCAGAACTCAACTTATAATGCGATTTTACGTGAACGCAAAGCAGTAAAGAAGTTGAGTAAAATATTTGCTTTGTTAAATTGAAGATACTCACGTGCACTCCGCTATGCAATTCAACGTAGAATACGAATCATAATATGCCAGATTTTTTTCTGCACAATTCCCATATGGAGACGGTAAATTCGTTACCTGCAATAAAAGCAATGCACAACTCATTAAACCACTTTTACTAGTTTCTTATACGACCAAAATAACCTCAAAATTTCAGGTCAGAAACCAAATTAATTCCTCGTTTAAAACCGCGCATTCTTCAATTTCTGGTCGGAAATTGACCTATTTATCCGTTCCAGTGATTGGTAAAGGTACCATATATAAAGTGGTACTGGGCGCGCATTGCATAGGCATCATTCTTTACTCCCATATATAGATGTGCTGCACGCGCAATTGCACACTCAGTCAGTGTGCAGTCAGACTGCTGAGGAATATGAGAAGCATAGAAAGAAAGCAGAAAATAACTTTTTTAATATTATTTTCGGGAAATATGAAATGAAGTTCTTTGGTATTTCTCTATGTTATACTTTTTTCAAACTATATGTGATGTCATTGGGTTGGGTTTCGTGGCAAAATTTTGACTTTGCATGCACGTTTAAACATTTCACTGAATGAACAGTTTTGATATATGTAAATATTTTTCTTTGCTGATTGAGCTACGTGTATTTTAGGGCTATTTGAACAATAATTCATATCTTCTGATCAAAATAACTCAACACTATAAAATCTAAGCCTACAATGTTATACTTACAATACTAAATTGCACTACACTGTAACATAAGATACCTTATCAAACGAAACCATACCATACCATACTAAACTAAACTAAACCATACCTTTGTTTGTGAGATGCCAACACTGACGCTCTCTCCAGGTGCCACCTGAAAACCCAGGTTTTCAATGTACGGGACGTCATCCGGGTGGTGGAGCAGCACCTGGATTTAAGAGAAAAGTCTAAGTGTTACGCTGTCTCTACGCTTACGTTAGCAGTGTGCCAGATAATTGAGATATGTCAGTATGACATGTAAAATTATATAAAAAATCCAAACCCTATTTTTCTATTACTTTTTTCATCTTTGTACCGTTACAAAGAATTTAAAAAAATATGGTTATAAATACGTGGACCCCTTAAGGTGACCTGGAAAGCAAGCGTAAAATTCATGCAAAATAACTCACTGTAAAGCCAGCACTGTGTGATGTAGCCAGATAATTGTACTGTTCAGCGTTCAATATTAGTTTAAGTCCAAATGTCGAACCTAAGAGTTCGGTTTTCAGATTGGTGTCACCTGTAAAAAAATTATACTACATCTAGTAACCAAGAGAATAATTGCTAACTATACAAACTACACAACAGGAAGACCACGTAAATAAAACTCAATTTTTCAAGCTCAAGTGGGTCTACTTTTAGACCACGTAATAACTTCGTATAGCATACATTATACGAAGTTATCGNAAACTACACAACAGGAAGACCACGTAAATAAAACTCAATTTTTCAAGCTCAAGTGGGTCTACTTTTAGACCAGCTACCAGTTAGCCAATTGACTTATTAGGGCGTATTCCCAGACATTTAGATCGATCTATCCCCGTGGGGAGTCTCACTAGATTACTGTCAGATAATCCGGCTTAAATGTCTGTCCCGCCTACTACAAGCTGTTAGGGGGTAATTAACTTTCGTGCCCGCTCGGCTGACAGCTATTTAGCGTGAATCCCCGGGGAGTTAGGTCGATATAGTTTGGATCGATCTAATCTCTGGGAATGGGGTCTTAAATGCTGCAGTAAAGGGGCTTTAATGGCAGTGTATTGATAAACGACCATATACTACTAGCACCACATATCAGTTTAAAATATAAAATAAAAATTAATAAAATGTAGAAAAACAGCAGTGTACAGGAATATTTTGAAAGGCGTCTCTTGATGTACAACATAGACAGTTTTGCCAAACCTGTTTCCCTGAATCATGCTAAATTATAATATATATACTGTTATATATTGGAGATCACGTGGACAGTGGTGAAGTCACGAGGTTCATGTCAACGTAGATCAATTACCTTAATGGGTTGTAACGGATTTCTTACATGCAGATATTTATGAAGTGGTTTTATGAAAGTGAAATTCCTATAATGAATTGTTTGCATAAAAGATGTAACTCGCATTGATCCTCATATCACACGTAAACCTGTCAAATCAATTAACTTTCATAAGAAATAGTACATGGACTTTCTTGGCAATATACATGTATATGGGCACTTTTCATTAACGTGAGCCACGCCACAGAATCATTATATATAAAGTGGGTACAGAACCACGTCGAACATTTAATTTCATTCTTTTAAAACTGTTCATGATAACTCAACGAGATACCAGTAATAACTGCATTGTGCCACTTCATACCCAGTTCCTAGATTTTGACAGTTAGATTTTCAATCAGAATGTCGCGACGTCCCATAATTATCATCACATTCCCTTTATTCAAGTGTGACAGGAATGGTAGTCCTAGGAAGGGATGTCACGGATCGCATATAATTTGTACAGGATAGGTTGGAGTATCGGGGTTAGTATATGGGACGTATGTCACCTGTACAAAGTAATGGGGAACGGACTACGGTTCCTAGCGGACTACCATTCCTGTCCCACCTACTGGTAGGCCTACACTGCTTCTAATCGAGAAGCACAATAGCGGAGTTCATCTGCTACATCAGCATTACGACCACTTTTTAGTCCTCTGTATGTCCATGCGATTTAAACATGCCATGTTAAAAGCCCTTTCACAGTTTGAAAGAATGGAATAATGATAGCGTTAAGGCAGACATCAATCAAAAATTGATGTTGAAATTAGTTTTTATTATTATACACGTATTGGAGGGACATGTATTGAAAACGTGAAGTTTACATTAAGCACAAGAGGGGAAATGACAGACGCGTGATCAATATCGGGTTCATAGACATGTTTTGAGACAATAACTCACCTCTGTGTTACAATTGCTTGCTTATGTTAGTTATGAATAAGTTACCTTCATGCTAAAGGTTTGTTTTATTACTTATGTGGACAGCGTTTACTTACATGTATTTACTTTATAGAGGTGATTCAGTTCGCAAAGTCGTTTTTAAATTCAACAATAGCGGGTTACGATCGCCATACACAAATAAATGTAAACAATGAATTCTATAAACACACACAAAAAAATCCTCTAAACTCAACGAAAACCTTGCACTGCTGGCAATACTGATGGACCCCTTCCGTTCATACAAATCAGATTAAGAAGAGCGTACCATGGTTGAACGTGTAGCACACGCCCATCTCCGTGAGGATTCTTGTGAAATTATCCACAGAGCAGGGCTGGGCGTTCCATTCACAGGACTACAAAATAGAAAGAAAAGAAGTTACAACGGGAAACAATTGACGATGGGGATAAGATGAGGACTGATATTTTGCTTATATAAATGTGGTCGAGTGGACGATCTCTGAATGTAATGCAATTTAAGTGTAGTTAAGTGATTGTAAAGGTATTTCAACCAGTTACCTTGACAACGTGAATGCGAAAAAGGCAGTAAACTGATATATGTGCTATTCATATCTTGCATATTTCAGGGGCCTACTGCCAGTCGTCCATTTGGACTAAATCTTTTAATTATGCTCTACAAAATGCAATTAATGCTACGTCTCGTTCAGTTTTATAGATATGACGTGTCTGACATCAAAAAGGATTTAGAATTAAATCGTTTAATCATTAACTGTTGAGCTTTTGGTGTCTGTTTCACGATGAAAAACATATATAGCTTATCCAGGCCTCCAAAACAGGAATGGAACAGTATTATGCGTAGAGATCGACACCTCGAGCACGGGTGTTGTGTTGTTTTGTGAATTTTTTTTCGGAGGGGGGGGGTCGTCCTTTTTTGTATGGGTCTTCACTGCTTGCGAGGCCTGTTATTCTCCACTCTAAATGCCACGGTACGACGGTATTGATACAAATAAAGTAAACTAGAAACACGGTGTCATTCCGTGTGGAGAAATCTCTACGCGTGGATAATGAGGTAAAAAAGGATGTTAAATTTGAAACGAATTGTAATGAACGACGTTAAAAAACAACAAATCGAAATAAATATATTACTTACACCCGGCGCATTTAGCATCGTCGGGGCATCATGCCCGTACTCCGTGATAAACTCAGTCCAGTTATAACTGCTCAGGTTCTTCGTAGTGGTCGCTGTAGGTGAGGTAAACAAGTAACCGACGTCAATTTCGCCCGTATGATACAAATTCAGTGCGCGCAGTTTGTTATTATTACATATAGTCACAGCCGGGAACGGGATGAAGTCCACGTAATGCAGTTCGATGTTGACGGAGACTGGGTTACTCCAATAATAATCAATGCGATTTTTTAGATGAAAGATCAAGAATCCAAACCCGGTCAACACAAACACAAGCCACATAACTCTGCGGAACCAACCGATTTTGGAGTCCACAACATTCTTGATCCCTAAAATACTAACATTGCTGGCAAACGTTGCCAAAGATTCCCGCACGTTTTCGTTCTCTTCGGTTTCGACGTTTTTCGCAGTGTTCTGTGCCTTTGTTGACGATAATGAATGAACTTTAGATTTTTCCATCCAGCTTTTCAACTTTAAAGTTGTATTTGCAGATGACGTGTCTATTTGAGTACTCCTAATGATAGGAGAAATCGCCACATTTTCTGCAAATGCTGAGTACTGGGTATCATACTGGTGGACATCGTCTCCTGGCAAACTCATGTTGAACGTAAAGTTTTCCTTGGACTTTTTAACAGATTAAATAAATGACGCAGTAAGATTTTCTATTCAGTCACCAATGTTTTCCACTTACCAGAGATGTACTGGATTAAAAAAGCCAATGACTACTTTTGTGATTTCAGATTGCAAACTCTTGAACTTGAAATGAACTTGTGGCCGATTGTGTAATCCAAACGTTTCTGGAGATAACTTTTCTTGTTCCCTTTTTCTGTTGTCACAGAAATACAAGGTTGTAGTTGAAATGTTCCTGCCAGCTGCTCCAATTCCCTATTAATTTATTTGTAACCGAAGTCAACGAAATCACCTTTATGCACTTCGTACTGAAATTAATGTCACTTGACTGTTTTCTTGTCACAACACAAATGGCGAAACTCCCAACAGTATTAACTAACAGTGCACAAGACTCCGCACCTGACAATCGCGATCGATTACGAACCAATGAGCTCTAGCAAGCAGACATACTTGTTGGGGGTAAGTTTTAATTGCTTCTAAATGGGGAGGGATTGGTTACTGTATTGATCGCTTTCCATTAAAGCTGACCTGAAGCACAAAATATCACTCCAATAGTTTATTGGGCCATCAATTAGCCAGTTTTTGTGACAAGTATGTGTAAATACTATTTAATAGAAATCATTCATTAAATCCGTGTAAATAGCAGCAAGCAAAACTCATACTGTACAATGTTTATGTCCAATTGCACATAAAGTGATACTGGGTAGTGAGATAAAAAAGGAAAGGTGTCCTTTTTAAGACTTACAGTTTCTTCAAAAGGGGGAAAATAATTAGCCTGTGGGTCACAGCACTATGTTCTTATAATGAAGGAGTCAGAGAGCATATCATAATGAGTAGAATACTGAGGTTATACGCACAGGTACATGTACTTGGGCTACGGGAGCTCGTATTTTTACCAAGCATACCACCACATGATAATATGGAACACTGTTCTCTGCAGGAACTCGTATTATACTAACGTAACTTGTTAGGATAAACACAGAGAGCTGTTGCCTGTAGCTTCCATAATATTTATCCAAAATGTTTGTCCCACCAAGAAATCAATTTCTGTAATGTTGTAATAAAACAAGAAGGAAGACTAATTGTTAGACACAATTACCCATTTTTGCATTATTTTGAACATTTAATTATAACTTCAGATTCATCTTATTAGTTAATTGTTGTTCACCTTTTTACATGTTGTGATTGTCTAAATTGTTATAAATATTTTCGGGAGGAGTTATTTTCACGCTCCCTCTTCAAAAGCCGATGTTAAGTTGACATTTTTGTTATTAGATTAAGGAATAATTTTGATTTCTTTTAAAACCTCAAATCCTGATACATTTCCAGTAACAATTAACTAGATCCCACGATCGTAACATCTACATAAAACATATCCAACTTTCTTTTTTCAGAGGTCGCGAGTTTTACAAGAAATAAAGGGAATGTGTGCAAAAACGTGGTATAACGTTTCCTGCGCAGCCCAGGGTGAGGACTAGCACATATTGACGTAGACATATTGTCTGATATCTTAGCTTTTCTCTTATTAGATGAATATAATTTCGTTTGCTGCTTATTACTTACTTAAGATCAATACGTATTAAATATTTCCTTAATGGTTTATTGAACGATCTATAAGTTGCATTACATAGTTAACCATTGAACCGTAAAACAGAGGGAAACATCCTGCAATATCAGTCTCATTAGCGTTAACGTTATGCACATTTGAATGTTACCAAAATATTGAACTTTGTAAAAGTCTTTTTCTGTCGCTTTGTATTAATCCCCCACTTCCAGACATTCTGTGACCTCTCCACTGCTGCCAGGGCTGAATTTGACAGATAAGAACTTCACAATAGATTGAAAATCGGATTATGGTCCATTTTCTTTTGGCTATATTGAATTCCAAACGTGCAGTTATAATGTCATCATGCCCGTGAGGCCACTTGTATAATTATATGGGCGTCCTCGCATTTGACTACCAGTTTTTGTGACTACACGGTGAGCTGAAAATCAATTGCCGAGTCTCATACGCAGATTGAATGTTTAGTCAAATGTTGAACAAGATAGTGACCATGTTATTCTGAAGGATATAAAATAGAAAAACAACCCAAATTATTTTTACGCATTCATACTTTGCCAGCTTCGCTTAAGGGGTCTAGGATATTAACGAAAAAGTCCAAAACTAATGCAGCTAATGAAATTTCCTATTAACTAAAGGATATGGTCTAGCAAGCCAAACAATTTTCCAAAGTTTGTAGTCACAGTGTAACACGAGTGACGTAATATCAGCATTTTGAGGCTAAAATTGTCATTTTTTTAATCAAGAATTTCTCTTAAACAAAAGGCCCTATTAATACGATTGAAATAGCTATCTAAAGGTTAGCACAAAAACCAGTAAACTCTGTCAGGATTTTCTCTTATTATTTTTACTTTTGATTTTATTTTGATAAAACGTGAATTTTACGAAATATATATGGACCTTCCAATTTCAGTATTAATAACTTCAAAAATAAAAGGTCAATCCAAAAGCCAAGACTCAGTCGACTAGATATTATACTGAAACAGAGACACATCAAATTTCATGTCAATCTGACGGTTCAAGAATGAGATATGGGGATTGAAGTTTAGACTATGATATCAATCTTCAAAGCTGAGAAATCGCTCATAAACCATTTGGCTCAGGTAATTGGGCTAATTTAGCAAAATAATTGCACCTCCACCTTACCTGTTATCATCTTATTGATCGGGAAGATCTATACACCATTACGTGTTAAAATTGGGTTGTTTGTTTCTATCTAGATGCCAGAAAATCTTACTTTTGTACGCAAACTTATTCGCACCACGAAAGCCGCTCTTCCCTGAGAAATGATTGACAGCTGCGTAGGTCTACCTACTCTCGTTTCACTGACGTAATTAATCATAATTGTGCCTGACGCAGTAGGAGTCTGTGCACTGTCTAGGAAGTGTCTAAGGAAGCGCTAACAAACAAAAAGAAAATAACTTGGTGTGCCAGCAGAGGACAATGCCACCCGTCGTGCGTGGACGCCGCTCTACACACCAAGACGCGAAAATTGAGAAAGCAAAGAAAGAATTACTCCAAGAAATGGCCGAATGTGGGTACGTATATGCCATGATGCCACAGAGTGCCAAGACCGTAATATGCGAATTTGAAAATGTTTTGGGTGGCAATATTATTTATAAACTTGCTTGCTGTTACAATCTTTATTGTGAATAAAATGATTGCCTAACGATATTTTTGACAACCCCAGACGTTGTTTGAATACTCAGCAGTTCAAGTGTGATAAATCGTCCTTCAAGATTTTCCGAGCGCTGGCTCCCTGCATACGCGAAGACTCCCCTTCATGACATGCGGGGTTTCTCCATCCACCAGAAGCACTCTCTTTCAAAATTCTCTTGCTTTCCTCGCTCGTCCGTTTTCTCGCAACTTTCTTTCTTCCCATGACTGTGTATATAACTGTGTTCTGCTTAGCTGACGTAAGTCTTATGAGCTGCCAGGGCACGCGTAACAGCTTAAGAAGTTAGACAACCATTCTTGCCCCGCCCCCCATAGTAACGGTGCTTGACAACGGAGGCGGAGCCTAAAGCCTGCCACCCGTACCAGTCAGGACAGGTAGAAAAACTCGTCCAAATGTATAATTTTAGTCCGTGTTTCACAAATATAACTTAATTGAGTATTAGATACAAAATTGATTATTTCTAACGTATAAAAAACTAAAAATCGAGTTTTAGACGTATTTTTAATATCCTAGAGGCCTTAATGCAAATGGTCTGCGCTGACGGCGGCAAACAATAGATTGCTTTCCCGCGCATAAAGAGGCTTCCTTAAATTTAGATAGCACGCCGAATAATATCTACTTTTGACGTGTTAAAACATTGTGAAGATAAACACCTTTTAAACACTTGTTTGTGTTTTAAAGATACCGTTACTCCACACATCGTTATTTACAGCACTCTCTTTTATCAAACTCTCTGAGACAAGATGACCAGTCAAATGGACGCTTGCGGTAGACGGGACGTGTCTCCAATATAGCGTATCTTGGGGTGCTGCTGTCAATTAAACCCCCGGTAGCAAGTGCCCTTATCAGCTGCTACATGATTTTGTCGTACGCTAAGTTGTTAATGGAACTGTCAAACGTTTCTATTTCTGTTATCACCTATCTCTTTTCACACCTGTTAAATGCCGTTAAAACCTTTACAAGTACAATTGATGGTCATTTGCTATATGCGGTGCTCCTTTAGATACATTACGGTCACGTTATCTCTGCACCCACTGACTGACAAATGCATTAGTATGACTAAAACGATCTACATAATGTAAAAATGATACTCTTCCAAAATGTGTGTTTATTGATTGGTAAACATCAATTAACGAGGCAACTTCAACCTGCGCGAGTGTTGTTGGCAGTGCAAGGTTAACTGCAGAGGAGAGAGGTGTTATTCACATATCTAACAAATCTTTTACAACTTAATTAGTCATTTCTTTCAGCTTAAGAAAATGTCAAAGGTGTCATACAAATGACACCACAAAGCCTGATTATTGATAAAAATTTTAAAAAATATGATTAAGCACGTTTTCAATATTTGTTACCGCTTTATCTTGATCTTGTTGCTGAATCGTTTATCATGAAGTTTTAATTCCCTGCTCTATCCCCTACCCGTCTCGTGAATCCAAAGGGTGAATATTTTCTCATTGTGAAGTAGTTGTCAGATTTCCCGCATATAAGTTATAAATTAGACTCTATTCGCACAAAAAAAAGTTATTCTATCTAAGCGAAATCTGCCAACTAAATAATGATGACGTGTTTTGTCCCGCTGTGTCCGCATCCTAAGAATAATGTAACAGAGTAGCTTGTTGTCGGACCTGTGAGTAGATACACACCCTAGCCATGGAGGGGGGAGGGGGTGTCACCTTATTGTGTCGACCCTAAGCAGCTGGTCCAAAGCTTCATTTAGGTTAGGTATTCGTTTCTAAAGTCATCACAGAATGACACGTGAGTGCAATAAAAAGCGAGCTATCAAAATATGTGCAAGGGTCTCATTATAGTTACATTTTTCTCTGTGAGGCTAACGCACCCATACTTTAGATAAAACATGAAACACAACGATAGAAAAGAGAAAAGGTAATTAAATTGCGCTTTTA